TGTTCCCAAATGGTTAGAGGTGAGCCTAGGATCTGGGAGTAGATTTCACGAATAGAATTGAAAAGAAAGGATTTTTTTGGTTTTTGGGGTTTTGTTGTTGTTGTTGTTGTTTTGCTTTGTTTTTGTTTTTTTTTTTTGTTTGTTTGTTTTTTTATATCAATGCCTGCATACTGTATTCACAGAGTTAGAGATCCAAATAAATGTATCTCATTCAGAATGAAGATTGTTAGTGTATTAGCAACTAGAGATTTGTTTCTAGGAAAGATGTTCTTATGCATATAGAAGTACTTTTCTCTGTACAGTTTTAAATTACTATTAATTAAGCAGTATGTGATATAATAGATAATTATAGTGTTTTAATACGGATACTAGTGGATTTGCTAGTCTTTCTATACAGCTATTGTTGGCTAATAGTGTTCAGGGGCTCATTCATGGAGCCATTGTGGGTCTAAAAATACCGCTAAATACCAGTGGGACAGCCTATTTTGAAGCATGGCTATTATAAAACTAACTTTTATTTGAAGTGCATCATTCTGATTATAGATTTTTTATTCATGTCATGCAGTTACTTTCAGAATATGTCTAGCAAAAAAAAAATATATGTGCTGAAAAAAAGAATAAAGGAACCAGATGGTAGTTAGATTAGAGTTAGAAGTATTGGGCATTTTTTCTATTCATTAGGAATTTTAACTATTTTACTCATTAGGATTTTAACTGGAGATGTTCTTATGTAGCCTTGTTGTTTTTATTTTAATTAATATTTCTACAGCAGAGATAATTAGGTAAATGCTGTTGAATATTAAATAGGGTAGTAGCTTAGAGGAAAATAAGTATTTCTGGGTCACAGCCCTTAACAAAATATTGTGGTATGTGAGCTGATTAATTAAATTGAATGCCAAATGAGTTTCTATCATCCAACCAGACTCTGTAGTCACTCCATTCATTATCCAAGGTTGTTCCAGCGCAGAATGACTGGTTATGTCACAGTTAATTTTTTTTTTCTAAATCCTGCTAGTAATAGAGTAAATCTTGATTAGAGAATAGTTGGAATCTCATTAAATGCAGCGAAATGTAAGAACATACCAGAGTGTGAGCCCATATGTCACATCATGCATTTAAACGACCAACGTGTGAATTTCTCAATGTTGTCACCAGTGGCTTCTATATATTGGTGACTTCTACCCATAAGAGTATACTGAGGACTCTAAAATATATTCTAGGTTACTCTGTTATCCCTGATGCTTATATCTGTATTAACATGGAAAGGAAAAAAAGACCTAGCTCAATTTCTATTCAAACCAGAAAAGTTGAGACAACCACACTTAGTGTAGCAGTAATTTATCAGTTGTTGGAACATTGTTTAGTAGAAATTCAGATCGATAGCTTTTAAACTGTATTTTGAAAATATCCTGGGGTGTCTGGCATTATGTAAATGCTCAACTTTAATCCCATCTATTCTATAAATCATAATGAAAGTTCCTATCAATTTTTATGGCCCATCATTAACATTTGCTACCAAGTTAACTAGCTTGTAGGCAGATCTAAGAACAAACCTTCTTCTGCCTGTTTGTGCATTTCTTTGAAATTTTGTAAACTAACTCTAGTAGGGCATTCCTAGCTTTTTAGTGAAAGCAGGCAGAGCAGTGCCTGATTGGGCTCACATCATAGCTTTCTGCGATTTCTTTTGTTTCATTTTTTGAGACAGGGTCTCACTGTGTCATCCAGGTTGGCTTTGAACTCACTGTGTAGTCCAGGTTGGCCTCAAATTCACAGCGATTCTCCTGCCTCACCTCCCAAGTGCTGGGGTTACGGGCGTCATCCCCCCATAGCTTTCTTATACTAGGCCTAACTGGTGCCTATTTCCCTGTGCTCTTGTTCCCTCCCCGACCCCACAACCCACAAGGCCTGTCACACCAGCTTGGAGCCTTGCTTTTTCCATGGAGCAATGAAAAGTTAGACCTATGATTGTTGATATATTGTACTGTGATAGAATATTTTAAATTCAGTTTTAATTTTATGTTTTAGTTTTCATTTGTCAAATTTATTATCTTGATAAGGAATACTGCTATAAATATCTGAAGAAATTCTCATACTCTTTATTAACCCCTCCAGCTCATGTTAATTGATGGCATCTTGATGTTTAAAAGCAAGATTTTGGGGACTAAGCACCTACTTTGGCAAGCGCAGGGACCAGGGTTCGATCCCCAGTCCCACATGCCATACTGACCCTGTCCCTGAGGCATGCTGAGCCAGCGACCCAGTCCGGGCATAGTGGCACACAGTGCTGGGGAGGCTGAAAACAGGAGGATCCCTATGAGTCAGAGCTGCATAGTGAGACCCTGTACCAAATATATAAATGGAAAATAAAAAAGCAAGATTTCTATTAATATTACTATTGACAACCACTTATTGTAGGTGAAAATTATCTCTCTTGTTTGGCTGCACAAAACATAGAAATAAAAACATTGCAGTTGATTTTATTACAGATGTCATTCACAATTTCTTACGTAAGAGTTTTGTGTCCATAAAATCGTCTTACCATTTGCATCAACTAACTTTTACAATAAATTTAACTATTTTTCTAAACATTCTGGACATTGGTTTTTTTTTAATGTATTTGGTACAGGGTCTCCAGGGTCTCTAGGGTCTCACTACGTAGGTCAGACTCATCGTGATTCTCCTGTTTTCAGCTTCCCAACTTCTGGGATTATAGGCATGCGCCACCACACTCAGTCTCAGTCACCATCTCAGCGCGCCCCAGGGGCAGGTCCAGCATAGCACGCAAGGGATCGAACCCCGACTGCTGTCCTCTGCCTAAGCAGGTGCTTTAGTCTGCTGAGCTAACTGGCCAGCCCTTGGAAATTTTCTTTCATCCAGTCTTTCACATGTAGAGCTCTGCACTAGGCGATTACTTACACATCTATAAAATGTAGATCTTGACTCTCAGTCTGTGTCCTCAGTAGAATCCTCCTGTCCTGGTTCATATTCTCAGGAAACAATTTAAAGAAAAGGCAGGAAAATTACGGATATGCTGGCAGCAATCTCAGAAGTTGTATATGTTGACCTGCTAGAAGGTGACACAGAATGTCATGCTAGATTTAAAACACCAGAGGCAGCCCAGGCACTAATGAATGTCCATGCTGAGATTAAAAAGAAGTACAACTGGAAACTCGAGGTCCTTTCTGGTGATCATGAGCAGAGATACTGGCAGAAGATTCTGGTAGATAGACAAGCCAAGCTCAACCAACCGCGGGAGAAGAAGAGAGGCACGGAGAAGTTAATCACAAAAGCTGAAAAGATTAGACTGGAAAAGACTCAACAAGCAAGTAAACACATTCGCTTTTCCGAATACGACTGAAGAGTGGAGCTCACCTATGTTTCATTGTGTCCTGGACATTGTTTGACTACAGCAGCACCATAAAGAATGTTTTGTAAGATCTACACGTAATGAAAGGAAATACTTTAGCTCCTCAGCTTGTAATTAAGACTTGTTTTTAGAGATGAGTCCATTGTATACCAGTTTTTCATTAAATACTTTATTTGTTGAAATTATATGTCAACATCAAGTTTGTTTTTTTCAAATGACTTTTTACATGCATTTTGAATATGATCACTGATTTTGGTTTTATTTATGAAAGCAGTACATCATTGCAGAAATTAAATACTTGATGTAACAAAAAAAAGTATAGATCTTGGAGAACACCAAAGCTATTAGGTATACGTTACATATATAGTAACACAGGCTACTATAAGAAAATACCGCGGACTGCATCTGTTTCTCATTCTGGAGGCCAGGACATCCAAGGTTCTGACAGAGTCAGTGTCTGTGAGGTCTCCAGGCTAGTTCACTGCCCACAGTTATTTCACTGTATTCTCTCATGGTAGATACAAGAAGCAACCACTCTCAGAGCTCATAGGGATACTAAGCCTTCTCGTGAATGACCCACCTTATGACCTTATCTGATCTTAATTCCCTCCCAAATACTTCATCTTCTAATAATACATTAGAGAGAAAGTTCCAGTTTACAAAGTTGGGGGAGGTATAGGTATTTCGTCTGTAATTCCATATAATCATATTATCTCTGTAATTTGTTACTGATGCATAAAACTAAAAATTTGATGATCAGAATGAAAAAATAGGGAAATGAAATCATTTTATAAAATTAATTTTAAGGAGACTAGACAGAGGCAGTTATTTAAAAATCACTGCCCTGTATCTTGCATATAATTCTATCATTTTGGAAATTATGTTGGAATTCATAGCTTGCTGTTTAGCAGCTCAGTATTCCAGGAATAAGTAAGCTGTACTTTTCCAAGAACATGTGAGGCAAAGAGGTGATCCCTTCTTGTTAGTAGAGAAAATGAATTTGGGAGATGTGTGCTGCCTGTGCTGTACCTGCTCTTCAATTTTAACTGGAGTCAGTTCAGTATCTTTTCATGTTAGTAAGAAAACCATGCCCTACCTTCCCAACTTCTTATAGATGCACTTGAGCAAAGAAGGTAAATCGTCTTGGGACTTGATGTGTGTCTTCTCGATTTTATTATCCATTGTTCCCATCCTAGATACAAGTAAATGGACTTGGAAAGCTTTAATTTATTAGAACATGAAGCTTTCATTCCCAATAGGGCTGAAGCGTAAACCTCGGACGTCTTACAAAATTTATTCAAAAGCACATTGTTTATGCATTGGCTTTTCAAAACATGTTTACCTGCAAGTATAAATGATGTTTCAGGAGGGAAAGAGTTGCATGTTTAAAGAGCCTTGCAAAGAAAGAAAGAAAAAAAAGAGCAATGCTTGAGGCATTCTATGTGAAGAATTTTTCAAGCCTTTAATAAATAATATATTTTCTGGCCCAAATCCTGCTACCCTAACCCTTCCTGCTACAACAGTGCCATCATTTCTCATGTTTTTGCTGTGTACACTGCTAGGCAACATAGATAGCAAGCTGGCTTTTTTGTCACCTCTTTGCTTACCTGTCATTTGTTTTCTTTCTTTGCAGAGACCCTCCTCGATGATTTCCTTCTCACGTACACTGTCTTCATGACGACTGATGACCTGTGCCAGGCGCTGTTAAGGCAATATCCTTCATTAACTTCAGGATGCTGCGGTGCCTTCCTCTCAGACAGATGTCCTACATTAGGAATTAACTGCCTTTCTTAATTTACTCAATTCCACAGTAGCATGTGGATGTGTTAAATATTAATGTAATGATATCCACAGTCAAAGATGAAATGAGACAGAATGGACGGGGGAAATGGAAATGCAGCGCTGTTTTCATGTTGTAAGACATAGGTACATTGAGCTTTTTATATTTGTTTCAAATCTGTTTCTTATGATTGTTTAGAAATCTGAAGGTGTTGGGGGTATAGCTCAGCGGCATAAACACCTGCTGGGCAAGTGCAAGGTCTGGAGTTTGATTCCTGATACCGGGGGAAAAACAGAAAAAGAAATTTAGAGGTAAAATTGGCCTTCAGGTAAACCTCAAAGTCAGGCAGTTGAATGTGGATTGGCAGTATATCACACAGTGGCTTCACGGAGAACCCGTAAGAGTCAGACCACTTGGGCACAAAAACTGACGTGCATGTGTGATACCGTGTTCCTGGGCAGGTGTCCTTGGACACATGAGCTCTTCTTCCACGTGGGAAACCTAAACTTGCCCCTGGAACCAGTTGTCATCTCCTCACAGCTTTATCTTTCTATGTCCTCTTAACATGATGGATGTGATTAGAAGGTTACTGACCAGTTGGGGAAGTCTTATAATCTTACCCACTAACTGGAATAAACACCCTGGAAACATTGAAAGGCCACAGAGCTCAGCCAGATCACTTGCTGAAAGTCCCCAGTTGGGCGCCTTGCCTCACAGTGCTTGAAGATATGCTTTAAGGTCATTTGAGTAATAAATTAATGTAAATTTTATTGATAATTTTGTGAAAGGTAAAATTTAATTAAAATTTTAAGCATTTGGCAAAGCACTCATGCTTTTATAAATCAAAGATTCCACTCTAACTTGCATAAAAATATTTAAGTGAACAGATTTTTTTGCATATGCTGAAGTTTTATTAATAAAATAAAATAAAACTGTTAATAAGTCTATTAATGACTATTGCTAATAGTCATTTGCTATTAATTTTCCTAGTAAATAATCATTGCATGTTTCCAAACTCTATAGCATTTTACTGCTTCAAAGAATACTTTAAACTCCCTGAAATACATAAAGTAAATCTGTCTTTTAAACTTTATAAACTATCCAGGTGTGATGGCACATAGCTATAATCCCAGCACTTAGGAGGATTGCTGTGAGTTCGAAGCCAGCCTGGGCTACAAAATGAGGTCAAGACCAGCCTGAACTGCATAGCAAAACGCTGTCTCAAAAAGACCTCCTTAATATATATATATATATATATATATAGATAGATAGATAGATAGATAGATATATATATTGCATTTCAGTGCTTTACTATATCCTATGACCAAATAAAGCTATGGATAATTTTACATTTCTTAAAACTGGTTTATTAAACTGATCTTGAGATGTTATTAATTTTACATTTGGAAAGTTTTGATAATATATGCAGGTTTATTCTACAGTTTCCAAGTGGAGTGTTGCTAACAAATGTAGCAATCATTAAAAAGATTTAAAATTTTTCCTTCTTTAGAAGTATTTGGAGGTTGGGGAAATAGCTCAGTAGAATAAGCACTTGTCTGGCAAGTGCAAGGGCCTAAGTTCAATCCTCGGTTCCACCAAAAAAAAGAAGTATTTGGAAACAATATATGTGAGCTAATTCACCTGCATTTTAACACTAACATATTTGTTAATAACTACATCCATTAATATAGTGTTTTTATAGTCTCCCATATTACTTACCTTTAACTATGATCCTAATATTATTTTTAATTATCATTAAAACAAACCCTTGACAGCCATATTCCTTGTGAGATATTTTAGTGTACGTCTTAGTGGTAATTTCTTTCCTATCCCACTATTGTTTTTCTTGATGGTTTTTAAACATTATTTGTAGATTAGCACCATTTTGGCTGGATTTAGGTGTTTTAGCTGAATATTTTTTATTGCAATAGAAAAGAAAAGCTTTCTGCTTTTCTCATCATAAAGCACATTATTTATGCTCATAGCCCTGGGCCAGCTAATATTCAGTGCGTTACACAGAAGTTGTAACTCACCTGGTGCCATCCCAGTACCCTTACCCCCTAGCTAAATTTATCAAATCAGTGTAGTTTTGCATAGATAAAATATAGAAGAATCTAATATAGAAAAGTAGAATAATGCAAATGCAAATTTAATTGATAAATATTTTAAAATATATATCTTGGAGAGAGGAGGAACAAGGTTAAGCAAATAAATGTTAGTAACTGTGAATATAGAAAAATGGTTGTTTCATGGCAGTGCTTTATTCTGCTGGCCTGTAATTATAGCACATGCACATACAGTCTGAATAAAACGCTTATAGCATCAGTTTACACGTACCTACCTAGAAATGAAGTTGTTGGCATTTCTTCTTTTCCTGCTTTTTCTTCATATTAGTGAACCCACTATGTTTATAAGGAAAGAGCAAGAGAATTTACAGAAATAGGACTATCTTAGGATGAATCTTCACATTTTACCTTTCAAGAGAAAATCTAAAGAAAGAGATGCTTGAAAAGAGTTTTTGTGCCAGCCTGCATTTCACAGGTAAAGCTTAAAGATAGCCACTCTCCACCCTCTTACTATGGGGTGAAAGTGACTGAATTATGTTTAAATATTTACAGAACCTGCTGTCCAATTTATTCCTAGCTTGCAATTATTTATCTGCATTAAGGAATATGTAATTGAACAAACACAAGACCTGTGGGTTTCGTATCATAATATTTCCTGTGCTCAGGTAACTTAGCCGTGCATCCAGCATGTTCAGAAACTGTCATTTTGGAGAGAAAAAAAAGATCACTTTGGTTCCTAGTCATTTAGGCATTTTGCCTTCGGTGTTATTTTTATTTCATTTTAATAGCATAGTTAATACATGTTCATTGTATACAAATTAGAAAATTCTAATAAGTAAAACAATTCATACACTCTTGGATCTCATGATGTTGAAAAGCCACTAGTAACCATCTCTGTATCCTTTCAGATATTTTTATTATTCACATAAGCATTGTTATCAGAAATGAAGCATTCTAATGTACTTTTTTTCCACTTGCTTTTCTGTTCAGCAGTAGTTTGAGTGCTCCGTGTCAGGGCATGCACTACTAGACAATTATTTTTAAGGCTACAAACCAATCCACTAAATGGATATATAATAATTTAGTCAAGTTATTTCACTTGCTTAAGCATTTAGATTCTTATATTTTTTAAATCTAGTTTTAATGAAAATGAGAATTAGTCCTTTCACTTACGTGTGTGCACATTCACTCAGTTCTTTCTTCCAAGTAAATTCCTAGGAATGGAGACTTGAGTCATATCACAAATTATGTTTCAGAAATCTGTGCTTATTTAGAACTAATTCAGAAATCACTGCTTTTTTTTTTTTTTAACAAAACGTGAATCTCTGATAATCAAAGAATATTTGGCCTCCTTTTGATCTATACAACTGTGAATAGCATTCACCTAGGCCAGGAGGCCAGATCATGCGAGAAGCCACCTGGAATTCCAAGGGCCACCCAGCCTCCCTTTGAACTGACACTAATCCCATGCTGCCTGTGGGACTTTGTGGGCAGCTGCCAGTGTGATGGTCCAGCCCTGAACTCCGTGGCCTCCAGCCGAGGACACTTCCGTCATTTTGTCAGTTTGCTTTTGTTCCTTTCGGTGGCCACCTTTTGGTCTCACTGTGTGTGTTCTCTTCTTTGTGGAAGCTATGCTTTCGCCTATTTTGTGAAAGCTAGAATAAGTGGATTTCTTTGTGTCTTTCCAAAATATTTCAACAGCGTAATGTTCTTTCTTAACCATTTGCACCTATTCTGCTAAAAAGTATCAAGGCAAAGAAGAAAATTCAGATGTTCCTCGTAGGAAACGTAAAGTCTTGCATCTGGTTTCTCAGTGGATTGCTCTGTACAAAGACTGGCTTCATGAGGATGAACATTCAAAAATGTTTTTAAAGGTAAACTGATACTTCCAGATAATCTTTGATACCAGGCAATGCGTTTTTCAGTTCTATATGTTGTAATTCTCATTTGTAGAGAACAGTCATTCAATTTTTTTTGAGAGTCAACTCGCTATTTGGAGAAAGCACAAATGCACTGTTTTATTTCTGAGGCCTGATAGTCCCTACATATTTAAATTTTACTTTCCCTATATGGGAAGTTTTTTTATTTATTCATTTATTTATTTATTTTTTATGTTTTGGAACTGGGGATTGAACTCAGGCCCTTGCACTTGCCAGGGAAGCGCTTTTTCCATTGAGCCATCTCCCCGGCCCAGGAAACTTTTTTAAATTTTTAAATATTTTACTATAAAAAAATACAGAAGGAAATAGTATTAATATAATAGTATTATATTAATACTATTTAATATAACAAATTTATTATAGCTTTAAACTAGTCTTATATACATGTACAATATTTGTATAAAGTATAATCATTTAAAAAATTACATTAACCAGCCAGGTATGGCAGTGCATGCCTGTAATCCCAGCACTCTGGAAGCCTAAAGCAGGATGATTATGAGTTCAAGTCTACATAGATTAATTTAAGGACTTAATAAAACTCTATCTCCAAAAAGTGGTGTGGATGCTGGTGAGATAGCTCAGTGGACTAAGCACCTGCTCAGGCAAGTGTAGGGACTGGGGTTCTGTCTCTGACACTACATGCTGAGCTGACCCCAACCCTGGGTGTACTGAGCCAGCCACCAAGACCAGGTGTGGTGGCACATGCCTGCAATCCCAGAGCTGGGGTGGCTGAAAGGACGGTCACTCTGAGTCTGAGCTGCATAGTGAGACCCTTTACCAAAAATATAAAAAAGTGGTGGGGGTGAAGGCTGATGATGTAGCTTACGCAAAGGCTCAGGGTTCAGTCCCCAGTACAACAAGGAAAAAGAAATAAAAGAAGAAAGTACATTGACCACATATAGTATATAAATTAAGAATATGATATACTTTGAGAATTTTAAGCAATTTGTAAAGAAAATCTAAATTTACATTTAAAATTAAATAAATTGATTCCTTTTCCTAACCATTAATAGGCTCCAATGTAGCTTTATTTTATTTTATTTTATTTTTTATGTATTTGGTACAGGGTCTACAGGGTCTCACTACATAGAATCACTGTCCTAGTGATTCTCCCATTTTCACCCTCCCAACTGCTGGGATTGTAGGCACACATCACCACACCTAGTCTCAATCACCAGGTCAGCGCCTACCGGGGGCAGGGCTGGCACAGCACGCCAGGGAACAAACCTATCCTCTGTGCTTGGCGTAAGCAGGCGCTTTAGTCTGCTGAGCTAGCAATTTAGTTTTAACTCAGGCATTTTTCTGGGGTAGACAGGTATTCCTTTGACTCCCAAAACCATAGTGAGTGTGCAGATTAATATATAGGCTGGCATGGAATTCTAGCTAAGAAGAGATCTATTTCAGAATAAGCAATTGCCTAAACTTCTATCTGTCATGAAGGAAATTACTTACAATGTAATGTTGAGACATCTAGTGAAAAAATGGTTTAACCAACATTTTGTTTGAACCAATGTCATTTCCAAGGCAGCTGATTAATCCTCAGAACCACAACCAACCAATCAGAAACAATCATCTTTCCAAATGATTGTTTTTTAAGATATAAAGTAGGCACACATTTTTTTTTTTTTGTTTAAATGGGGTCTTGCTTTGCAGTTCAGTCTGGCCTTGAACTCACTGTGTAGCCCAGGCTGTCCTCAAACTCATGGCCCCCTCCTGCCTCAGCTTCCCAAGTGCTGGGATGATAGTCATGTGCCGCCATGCCCAGCTGGTGTAGGTGCTTTGAGGAGGCAACAGGATCTCCTTCCAACATTCCCTACCTAAGCACTCTAAGGAATTGATTGAGTGGCTAAGATTCACTCCATACGTTGTCTTGGATTCCACCGTATTTCATTGAGCAGGCTAACTGGTTTCTGAATCTTTGGTTGATTGCGGTTCTCAGGATTGAACCCTTGACTTCACACATGCTGCCCATGTGTTCTGCCAAGAGCTGCATCACCAGCACTGTCTTAATCTTAATCCTTACAAAATGGACATTAAGCTAGTTCGGCTGCCGTCTGTCTCTTCCAGACCATATATCGGAATGTACTGGATGATGTCTATGAATATCCAATACTTGAAAAAGAGTTAAAAGAATTTCAAAAGATCCTTGGAATGCATCGTCGTCAGTAAGTGTTTAATTTTTCTCACTGGAATACCATGCATAAAGTTGATTTTGAATATGTTGTTTTGGGTTTTGGGGGGTTTTTTTGTATCATTGGTTACGTTTTCTTACTTGTTTTGCAGTAGTTGGAATTGAACCCAGTACCTTCATGCAGAAGTGCATACCCAGCCCTCTTTAATTTTTGAGACAAAATATCTGTAAATTGCCCAGGCTGTGCTTGAACTTGCACTCCTTGCACTTCACCCTCCCCGCGTGGTGGGGTTACAGGCTTGCACCACTGCCCTCAGTGGTCTGGAGCATTTTTAACTCTGGAATTCATCTTGCTTCCTTAACTTATCCAGTAGTCAATGGTGTATTTTTAAATCTCAAAATGAAAGAGCACTACATTAAGCTTACTGAATTCTGTTTTACATGGTTTAAGTAAACTGGGCCATAACAACCTGGGTGTAAAGAAACAATTATTTAACAGATTATTATTTAACTCTACATATTAATTTTGGGGCTTGTAGCTTTATCTATGGAAAAGGAAGAAAAGTCTTATGAATAAACCCCAATGAATCATGGGACATCTCAAAAACTCAATTTTATGAGTTCCCTGAGATTTCTTATCAATTTAGAAAGATTAAAGAAAGCCATTACCTTGCTGACTCTGGGCAAGTCCAAGCATCCCATAAACAACGCTCCTAATCTTGCAGCTTCACTGCACGTGATTTTCCTTGGTTTGACCGTTGACATTCCTTATTAGTTTTAGCAACTGAAAACACGAAGTCGTCATTTGGTTTTCAGGTATAGTTTCAAGAGTTCATCTGAGGGAACGTTGTTTTGTGACTTACAGTGTACTACTTTATATTAACTGGGAAAGTTTTTGTCAATGGTTTCAGCCGTCATAAACGCAGTTCTCAGAAAAACTGCTTTCTCAGCCCTTTGAGATTACTGATTTGAGATTTAAGTCCATATTTAATTTTAGTAGAGTCCTTGTTGCAAAGTAAAAATCTGTCTAAGGGAGCAAGCAAACTATTTATAAGCTTTCATTCAGCCCTCAAAATTGTATATTTAGACATTTAAAAATCACATACAAGTTAGAGAACAGTTACAGATGAATGTTACAAATATGAAGCAAAAAGCAGGGAGGAAACACAGTGTTTAAATCAAAATCACCTCTCCTGTGGAAGTTGCTTTATGCTATAAAGCAGACTTGTGTATTAAATACATCAGTAGAATTGAATACAGTCTATCGAAAACTTAGACTGAGAAATACCAGATCAAAATTACATTTAGAAATGATTGCACTAGCAGTGTAACTCAGTGGTAGAGCAGGGGACTAGTTATCAAGAGGCCCAGGTTTCAATCAAGGGTACTGTTGAAAAAAAGAGGATTCCATGATTCTTCCTTTTGGGATATAAAACTGTGAACAACTCTTATGTTCCAGAAGAAAATTTGAACTTCAGATGTGTTGTTCATCACATTTTTGCCTAGCCCCATTGTACGAATAAAAGAGAAAGTGTTTTTTTCTTTTCTGAGTGCAAGATTAGGTGTCTGCAGTTTGTGGCTAACCTAATGATGTATGAAAATGCCCCAGGGCAGGTTCCGTCACAAGTGGGCCAGGACTTCCTAAGGTGCTTAGCAGTGGGAACCAGCTCTGACCAAAGATGGACCCGCAGGACATTCTTCATTTATTCCCCATGGAGACATATCCTGGAAAACATGCTGAAGGATTTCAGCATGAAATCCTCCATTGTATGAGGAAAAACATTTCTGTCTACTAAATATTGCTAGTAAAAAACCAAAACTTTATTTCTGTTGACTGAGTTTCCATAGATTTAATAAATCCAATTTCTCTATCCATTCTTGACTTTACTTTTTGTGGGAAGGAAGCACAATATACCAGTTAAATAGGTAGCTTTTTTTTCTTGGTTTATTGGAAATTCAGAGCCCAATGTCAAAGGTGATGTATATATACAAATCACCTTTGACATTGTATATATATATGTTAGACTAGTATGTTAATATATATATATATATATATATATATATATATTAAACTAGTGAATTATATATTAAACATATATAAACTTATATATTACTAATATATATGTTAAATTAGTGAATACTAATGATAAAAGGGAATCAAATTCCCAACCTGAAAGATACCTGGGACAAGTTCATGTTCTCTAAAACTGAAGAATGAATTTTAGGAACAAAGGAGGTTAAGAGCAAAATTTATTTATTGGGGGAAAGAAAGCTTCTGTCTGAGAGAGGGACAGAGGCACCTGAGTAGATTGCCAAGTAATCTGCCTTTTTTAAGGATTATTATAAAGCAAAACCATGAGGTAAGGCGGATTTAAGGTGGAACACATGGGAGATCGCTGGAAGGGCATAAGATGGGACGAAATTATGGTCAACCAGTAAGATTACAAGCACAATAGCTCAGGTAAAATTGATTAAATCAGGATCAAATGGGGAAGGAGTCACCCAGCAAGTGAGCATGAATCCAGAACAGGGGCTTTTCCTGTAGAGGATTGGGGTAGTGACTTCCTGGCTTTTGCAAGGTGATTGATACCTCTTTAGAATCTCAGTGCCTGATGTCTATCCCTAGGGAGGTATGTGGCTGCATTTGTTTAATCTTGTGCCTTGAAGTCTGGCCCATGAGGAGGTGCCTGTCTCTCCCACAGTTGCAAGGTATCTTGCCTTCCATATTGGGTCCTATGAGGGCTTAGCCCTATCTGATTTTCTATAGTATTTCTATCTAAATCAGCTGCCTATAACACTGTGTTTTGGGGGGGGTGTGTATGTTGGGGGCAATGAACCAGGTCCTTACACATGGTAGGTCAACACTCTAGAACTGAGCTACATTTCTACTCCTTTATATTCTGCTTTTATCTTAAAACAGGGTCTCACTGAGTTATACAGGCCAGCCTCAAAGTTATGATACCTTTGCCTCAGCTTCCTAAGGAGCAGGTGTTTTATCTTTTGTAAAAGAAGAAAGTCCTCTGCCCATTGCCTGAAAATTAGTCTCCCATGAAAATAATAGCATCAGTCTGAGTTTGAGTAAAAGACTAACTCCTTAACTTTTTCTTTTCAGCACTGTAGACGAATATTCACCTCAAAGGAAGGTAGGCAGACCCTTCTGTATCTGAAGTGGGGTGACCTGGTGTGGAAACCTTGGCCTGCCCAAGCTGGCATTTCTTCATAATTAAAATGAATCTGCCTAAAGCTTCGAAAGGCATCACGGAGAACCTGGGGCTGACGCTGGCTGCGCTTTCTTGCTCTGCCACAGTCTCGCTGTGGGGTGCATATCTGATTTTAGCAGTCTACCTTGACTTTGTGATACACATATTTTGTGGTGTATTTTGAAGCCTTGGATCTTCCCTGCTGTCTCTAGAATCATAACAATGTGAAGTTTACAAAGTGTGTGCTGAAAATCTAAATGAGGATCTTGACTTATAAGTATAAGAAATTTATGTAAGGAAAAGGTTGTTCTCTCAACATGAAAGAGTGGTGGTGGCAAGTGTGAGCATGTGCCTGTGCAACTTGATAAGGGAGAAACAGCAATGCAGTGTCAGGCCCAAGTTTGGGTTTTTGTTTATTTGTTTGTTTTGTTTTTATGGCAGAACTGGGAATTGAACTCAGGTCCTTGGCATTTGCCATGCAAGAGCTTATTATACTGAGCCATCTCCCCAGCCCCTAGGCCCAAGTTTTGTAGAAGATAGGTAATTGCAATAAACAATGCATTCTTTTGTTTGTTTTTTTCTTTTTCTTTCTTTTTTTTTTTTTTTTTTTTTTTTTGTACTGGGAATCAAACTCACAACCTCATGATTGCCAGACAAATGCTGTGCCCCTGAGCTATATCTCCAGCCCCAGTGCACCTATTTCTTTTAAGAAAGGTCGTGTACTACATTACGAGTATGAAAGGATTTCGCAGTTGCTTCTGTGAAAAATATAAAAGACAGAAGCTCGGATTGTGGTAACTGTGCTTTGGAGGGTAATATTGGCTTGGGCAAACCATGTCTCCAGAGGTCTGGGGAGGTTGGCAACAGCCAGCAGAGAGACATGTGGGGGTACCCTCTGGCACATGGGAGGGAATCGCTACAGAAGCCTTTGCCCGCTGCTGACCTTGGCCAGGGCCCATTCCTGGGCCCAGATCTCTACCTTCCCATTTATTAATGGAGGCTACTCCCAGTATATTTCTCTAAGATTGGATGGGTGGATTTCATATTTTTTTAAAAAAATTGGCTAGCTCTCTTGGAACATGTTGTAGGCAGCTATGGTTTTTCAAAGGGCAGGAACATTCATTCATTGTTCTCTTTCTACCTTCTCACAGAATAAAGCCCTTTTCCACCAATTCAGTCTTAAGGAGAACTGGCTCCAGCACAGAGCAACTGTGGCTGAAACAGAGGAAAGTGAGTAGGAGTTGAAGCAAGATTTGGGGTGGCTAGACTGATAGATGGTCACTGTCTCCGCCCACTAGGAACACATCAGCGGGTGGTTAGCTGTCACTTCTGTTTTCCCACTCTGACAGACATTCAGTATCAAATAGGATGGTTTTCCTTTTCTTGCTCTGAGATTACAGTCATCTTAGGTCTTATAATAGTGGCCCCACAACCAAGAATGCATTTAGTTTGGAAAGCAGAGGATGCAAAGAGCCCTCTTGTGTTCTGGGGCAGAGGTGCAAAATAAACTAGAAACTCAGCCTTGTCTTTCCTGAACCTTCTTTCTAACTCCCCAGTTCTGTTAACCCTTTGCCTGCAGCTAACTGGGAAAGCCACGAAAGCCAGTGTGTGGGGTTTTGGCTGACTCAGTCCCTGAGATTTAGAGAAGAAATCTCAGAGAGAATAATGAAAAGAAGGGTATATGGTAGAAATTCTTCCCAGGCAGGCTGTGCCACACTTCCGGTGTGTCCTCACTACTCACTGCTTGTTAGAGGAAGGGGATCCTGGCCTGCCATGATCACAGATGTTCATTCAATACAGGGAAGATGGCTGTTCTGCCACCTTTGGGTGCTGGTGTACTTTTCAGTGTGAACATTTATACCAATACCAAAATGACAGCAGTGGTTTCCTGCTAGCTGGCTAAGGATTGAGTCAAGGCAAAGCTGAAATATAGTGAATTGAAAAAATGTTCATGCTGGTATGGATTTGAGGTTGTCTTTTTACTCATCTCCATGTGTTGAAATTCAAAGTATAAACATTTGATATTTGCGCAATTTCTTAATCATTAAAATATAAAATATCACAGGCTTTCCTTCCTTTTCTGTGGTGTTTATGAACACCGCTGCCGATGGATGGGCTCTGCTGTGTCCTATGAAGGACATCTACCCCAAGTGAAAGAGGAAACAAAATTATCTTACCTCCTAATTTGTTAATTGCTGACCTCTCTTGCCCATTTATCTTATAATTTAATTGTCTTGTTTTCCAAGCTGAGCTTGGAAGACGCTAAGTATCTGAGGGCCCCTGGGCTTTGTTTTTGCTCATCAGTCTATTAAGCAAGCTACAGATTTACTCTATGCTTTGCAGGCTGGGACTTTTGCCTTGCTCAAAAATTGCATTTTTATATAGAGGGAAGAAAATCTTTTTTTTCCATCCCTCACAAGTCTCTTGACAAACAATAAAGTAATTATTTGTCGGAAGCTATTGTTTTAGAGACACACCCATGAAACCAAGCAGCGGCTGTCACCCACCTGCCAGGAGGGTGCACTTTGAGGCTTTGTATGTGTCAACTCATGGTTAGGCTTTTGCCTCATTTACATTTCTGTAAAAACCATTTTTGGATTTATTTTTGTAGTGCCATTTAAGTTGCACATAAAATTTCTCTAAGAGCTATACTCTCAGTTTTTTGCCCTGCAGAAGAGCAGAATATCTAAGTATACTGTTATCCTACTGTTTCTTCTAAAGCAGCTGATGTTCTAAACATTCAGAGTAGCTGAGGTAAAAAGCAAGGTATCGATGATGTCCATTACTATTAAGACGGTCTGTGCTATTCAAATCAAAAGAAAAATGTTTCCAGAACCTATGCACCCTGATAGAATAATGGCCTAGTGATGATTATTATCACAAACAGTGGAAAGGAAATTTCAAAGGCTGAGGATGTGAACTCTGGAAACTAAGCTCACCACCACGTTGATGTGGGGGCGGGGATGTCCTTCTTAAAGGTCTGAGAAAGCTAAACAGAAAAGCCAGGCAGGTGACGGATTTTTAGCTTTGTTCATGAGAATTTAAGAGCAAGTGCATTGTTCTTGATTAGACCACTGAGACTGCCTTGAAATTGAGTGTGAAATAAAAATGTATGAGTTAGACATTTTAATATGCTGCTTTGGGAGATCTCAGCAGTTCTTAAAGAAGAATTCAGAAGTAGTCTGTGTAGCAGGGTTTCCGCTGCCTTACGGCCAGGAGCACGCGCTGCTGCGACTCATCCCCTACAGCATGTGCAGCCTGCCTGCCACCCGTGCCTTCCTGCCAGCTTCGTAGTATCTATGTGTCCTGTATTTGCAAACAACATTCATAGGCAGACACCTCTGTCCCTCGTGTACATACGTGAATGTGTATGTCTAGTTGCATATTCTTTGTATTAAAGAGAATAGCAAGGTGGGTGCCTCAGTTTGGCATATAGTCAGCACCAAAGGACCAGACCCCCCTGCTTATGAACAATTCTTTGGACTTTTATAGTTTTTTGCCATGTATACATAACGGAGCACTCCTATGTCAGTGTGAAGGCAAAGGTTTCCAGTACAGCCCAGGAGATCCTGAAGGTTGTAGCAGAAAAAATCCAACATACAGAAGAGGATCTGGCTCTGGTGGCCATCACGTTCTCTGGGGGTAAGTCATTTTCTATCTTTTAATATTATTCTTTTACTGAGTCGCCTCCAAAAAGAGAAAGTTGACATTTTTGTAGAAGAACTGTAGTGCACCTCCCTTCTGAGCCCACAGCTGGATGACCACAGTAACAATAAGAAGCTGCCTACCAGAGGTGTTTCCATGACAACAGTGGGGTACTGCCGGATATTGAATTTCCTCCCCAAGAACTGAATAGAGAGTCATGCCCGTGTTTGGAAATGCATTATAGCTTATAAAGTGCTTTTTTGTATTTTGCACTCTAGATAAGCCTTCCATTTTCATATTTAAATGAACTTGGGAAATTGCTAAAGGATGAAATTACTGGAGAGAGGGGGAAAAAAAAGAATCAAGATGGCCTTGAACTAGTCATATTGCTGGCTGACAATTTAATAGACTCCCCACTGGAAGAAAGGGAAATGCACAATGAGCCAAAGCTCCCGGGGCACTGTTCCTTCAGGTAGACATGGAGAGGGAGAACTGGTAAAAGCTCTCCTTCCGCTGGGGCTTATTTGTCCTCAGAGAAAGCTTTATTGTCTGTTTTTGAATAAGATCACACAGATTACAAGCTGACGCTATTGATCTGTGCGGCCTGAACAGACCTCTTCACTTTCACTGGGGCCTGTCAGATCTCAGTGTCGCTGGCCTCCTTTTTGGCTTGCGATCTTTATTTAATATCTCATTAACCCTGAGGAAAACACCAAGAAAGTGATGGAGCCTCAGTAGTGGACAAATGGAAGAAGTCCTCAGTGAATTAACCTGGGAGGAGAACGGGGCGATAAATGGTGCCATTCTTTTTATGCGCTGGTGGAAGATGCACCCCAGAGTATAGGCCCCATTACAATATTATGTAGCGGAATTTTGCACCTACTGCTTTGGTGCTCACAGGCAGGTAGAATGCTCCTGCGAGCACATCGATTTCATGCACAAGTGGAGCCCTTGACCTCAGGCCCAAGAACGCTCACTGCACATCCCATCCACCATTATTCAGGGTTAGGGGTATAACTCGGTAGTAGAGCAGTGGTTAAGCATGTGTGAGGCAAGAGTAGGAGAAACATTTAGACCTGAAGAATCTTGATCAGGAAGTTGGTACATTTTCAGTAATGTATTTCAGATCAATATGATAAATTGATTTTGTATTTAATTTTCGAGTGACCAAAAACATTCAGTGATTTTAAATAGTATGGACCTTCATCAGAGCCAGCATGTGTCTCTGATGATACTACTACTGCGGATAGTGACTGCTGGGTCTTTGCTGAGTTAGGAGGTACTGGAGGAGCAAGGGACTCGCATCAATGTTGGACCACCCCGAGACCCATGTGGCTAAGGAGTTGATTTCAGTTAGTCCAGGGCCCCTCAGAACCTGGCAACTTCAGCAGGGCTCTCTCAGTACCCACTATCTATTTGGTGGCTGTGAAGGACCATTTTCATGCTCCATTAAATTAGATTCATCAGAGTGGGCACGTGTTCTGCTGAGTATAGATCCACTGCTAATCAGCACAGGAAGTGTCAGCTTATCTCCTGAGTTATCCCACAGATTTGGAAACATGCCATCATTTTCCATGCACTGGTTGTTTTTTTTTTTCCGTCTGTAAAGAGCTTTCTGCCTGCATTTTATTATCTCCAAAACAATGTTTTAATTAAAGAAAATTAAAACAGAGCTTAAGGTATTCCTCCCTCTGGTTGCATAATTTTTCATAAGTACTATTTCACTACCACTTCAGAATGAAATGGTGAGATTTGTTCTTTTTGTCAAAAAAGGTTTAAAGATGGAAATGTTAGTGGCCTCTGTGGGTTGTTCTAAAAGAAGCAGAACTAGTCTCAGCTTTTATAGTTTTCTAGCTCTCCTGTAAGGGGAGGCATGTGTGTAGTCTATCACAGCAATAACCTACCCACTACCCATTTTTACCTATTCGGAGGTTAAAATTTAATTTCAATCTTTTATAGTATGTTAATAAACCTGAAAAAAACTTCAGAACCAGCTATGGGAGACCACTGACCAAAGTTGTCTATAGTCTGACACTGTTGTACTGGTGGTTGGTGGGGGGACTGCAGGGGCTTCAACAGTCTCAGATTGAACCATCAGATGTAAGGGGAAATTGGGCTGCTAGGAGAGGAATCCTCATGACCTGAGGCAGTCTTAGTCTTGTGGGGCTCTGAAGAAATCTGAGGTAACCATAGATTTAGGACAATGGAGACTGCTGGGAGTAATTGCTCTTGACTTTAAAAGATAGTATGATAGCTTAAGTCACTTTAGGGCTAATAAACTTGTTTTCCAAACTTTTAGGTGGAAACTCCAGGATTTAGCCAGAGTTTCACAAAGTGAAGGTTAAGGGGCTAGGGAGATAGCTCAGCGGTCTAAGCACTTGCTTGGCAAGCATAAGGACCTGGGTTCAATTCCCAGTACTACATTCCATGCTGGCTCTGGAACCCTGGATGCTCCAGGCAGGCCACTGAAACTGGGGTTGGTGGTACATGTCTATAATCCCAGCACTGAGGAGGCTGAGACAGGAGGATCACTATGAGTCCAGGCTGCTTAGCAAGACCCTGTACCAAATAAATAAATAAAGATTAAAAAAATAAACAAGGTGAAGGTCAAGCTTTGTTATACTTTTACCTACTGGACATTTCTAGGCCCAAGAGAAGAGTCACAGATCTTAGCAGAACCACTGTAGGTATGTGTTAGGAATAGACATAATTTGTGCTTCTAAAGGGCCCAAGAGATTTTTGTATGCAAGTGTGAATGTGTGTGTGTCTGTGTCTGTGTGTGTGTGTATTCTGTTTCTATAGTGTTTTCTGTGTTGTGACTATGTCAAAGGTATGTAGAACACTGCATTTCCCAGTCATACTGGATTACTGAAGGGCTGCCTTAGGAGAACTTGATTATATCACAGTGGAATAAACTCTAGTTTTCTTTAGGGTATTCCTGTGTACATTTGTGTTTTGGAGGAGAGCATTGTCTGTGATGAAAGCTATTGTAGTATTAGAGGGCTTCAAAGAGCTTTTTTTAAGAAGTCAAAGGACAAGAGAAATGTGCAGTAAGAGAAGTGAAATAGAAGAAGAGAATGCAAAGCTGGGTGTTGTGGCACACACCTATAATCCCAGATCTTGGGTGGCTGAGGCAGGAAGATTGCTGTGAGTTCAAGTCCAGCCTTGGTTGCATAGTAAGTTCAAGGCCATTGTGAACTACATAATGAGACACTGTATCAAACCAAACCAAAAAAACAACAAAACAAACAAAAACAACCAAAAGAATAATATGCAGGAAATAGTCACCCTTACTAATGGACAGGAACTACAAAATAGAACCGGGCATAGAGGTTCACACCTGGCAGCACAGCACTCTGGGAGGCTGAGGCAGCATTGTAAGTTCAAGGGCAGCCTGGTCAACTTAACAACTTAAGGAGACCCTCTACCAAAACAAAAAGGGCGAATAATAACAGTACAAAGTACCTAAGTTTAAGTCTGTCTGTCTGTCTGTCTGTCTGTCTGTCTGTCTGTCTTTCTCTTTTTTCTGATGTTCTGAGACAGGGTCTCGCTTTATGATGCAGGCTGAACTCACTAGGTATCTCTGGCTGGCCTCAAACTCATGCTGATCTTCCTGCTTCAGCCTCCCAAACGCTCAGTGGATAGGTGTGCACCACCATTCCTAGCTCCTCAAATCCCAGTTTAGAAAAAGAAATACAAAATACAGAGACTTTTGTTCGTTTTAGTAAAGTAGCAAGTTTACGCAAAGTAATAATCAGGGTTGGTCAGTATACAAGATATCTATTTACTTTTAGGAAAATGTATGGATTTATTTTCTAAGAAAAGAATTAGAAAACACTTTACTATAGCAAAAACTTCAAAATTACTCATTTCTCTCAACTCGGTAATTTCAGGATTGGGAATTTCTCTTAAGAAAACCATCTATAAGCAGATAAGGATTTATACACAAAAATACTGACCTCAGCAATATATTTTGAGATCACTACAATGATAGAATCAATTAATCAAGTACTTATCATATGCCTGGCTTGTGCTAGTTAGTATTTAACATATTTCATGCTGTTTAGTTTATATGACCAAAATAATTGGAAGCCATTAAATGTCCAACAGTAGAGAAAAGATTAAATGATGGCGTAATAGACTGTTACATAACCAATTAACCATGATGATATAAATAATTTTGATAACTGCATAAGTGCCTGTAGTGAAGCAGAGTACAAAGCTGTATCTGGAGAGACTGTGAATGCTTATATGTGTCTGAACAAGTATGAATGTTTGCTTATACATAATTGCAAATATTTGTGTGTGGCTCTTTTGGAAAGATAAGATGAGGGGTAAGTTTTGCCTTCTTCCTTAAACTGTCATTCTAAAAAATGATTAAACATTATAGGAGCCCTCAAGAGGGCTTCACTGTGGTTCCAAGTAGCAATGCCCAGGTTACCTTTAGCATCAAATAATAGTGTGCCGAACTGAATTACTTCCATTTAAATCCTATTTACTGTGCTTATCAACACTTTGCTTGTGCAAGTTTTACTCTGTGTATTGTGTAGACCTGCTTATGTTTCTTACTTTTCAAACCTTTTTTCTTTTTTTGGTGATTAAAGAAAAGCATGAGCTTCAGTCAAATGACTTGGCCATCTCCAAATCCCTTGAAACATCGGGTCGGATATATGTCTACCGGAAAGACCTGGCGGACACTTTGGTAAGGATCTCTAACCTCATGCTGAAAATACACAAACATCAGGATCAGTGCATGTATGTGGATGAGTTGCATCCCTGACCTTTTATTTTGCTTTGTTTTATTTGTTTGATTTATCTGAGGCAGGATCTTGCTGGTTTTGTTTTCTTTAGCTTGTTTGTTTGATTTTGAGGCAGATTTTTGCTAGTTACTAACCAGCCAAGGCAAGCTCAAACTTTCATCCTCTTGCCTCAGCCTCCCAGAGTGCTGGAATTCCAGCGATGTGTCACCATGCCCAGCTACCCTTGCTTCCTTCTGACTCCTTGAAATAAGGGACTTGAAAAATGACTCGTTCTCCTGGAATTTTAATTCAGTTTCTTCTTTTTGTTGCATATAAGGAGATCAAGCTGAGAAAGGCACTGTAGGTAGATTTGAGAGGAAAGAGACCCATTCCAGTTGATGTACTCTGGGTATTCCATGTCCCTGAAGACAGAGTGAATTACCAGCCTTCCCTGTGTAAGATGAGATCATAATCCTGGGGCATCAGATGCCCCTTTTGAGTGTGATGAAACATAAAACTCAATCCTTTAAGTTAATTTCAATTTCAATTTGAAGAATAGTTATGCTTGAATGGACCTTGTTGTTTTTCTGCCTTTGGATCTCAGTCTTGTGATTGCTTTCTGAAAGATAGGCCCTGTCAACACCTGTCTGCATCGGGAAGGAGCAGAGGCTCTAACAGTGGGATCCAGTCTTCCAGAAGCAGGGCCTCTTCTCCTCCCTGCCTTGGATTCCTCATGGAGTGGGTCTGCCTAGCTGGCTCCTGTTGTACATATACTGTAATTGAAGGATCATCATACCATATGGGCTAAAATTGATTTACTAAAATATTTTATGTAAAATTATCTACAAGCTTGCAAGTATGAGAACAATGTTAATCACTGTCACTTATCTGTATTACTAGGTGTGCGTGTGCTGGCTAATTCATAGTCTCTCATGTACCACCTCCAGTGTCCCTGTGAGGTTTAGAAAGACAGGGAAACTTTGCCTAGCTTCCTGCAGGCAAGCAAGGGTGCATGCCGGGCTTTGAATCTCATGTTGCTTCCCTCAGAAGCCCCTGCACGTTCCTTTGATTTGTTGATGAGGAGGAAGAAATGGAGAGGGAACCCTCTGCTTTAGTTGGACCTGTCCAGTTCTGTCCTCCTGTGGGTCACAGGTCTGTGGAAAATCTTCAGGGAAATGAGATAAACCACAGCATTTATGAGTAAAGCAGGGGGTTGATTTTACCCCTCCACATGGAGGAGGACAAGCTGTGGGGCTCCTTGGGGTAGAGGGGCAACACTCTAATTGTCCTCATTCCCCACCCTCCACCTCCCAGCCTCCTCCTGCTGCTCCCAGGGCTTGGTTGTGGCTGGCTTCTCCCACTCTCTAGGGCAGGCTTTGGGGGGTCGAAGGCTGCTCTGTGCCCAGCTCAGTGGAATACAGAGGTGCTGTGCAGATGGCTCTAAAAGGAGCCAGACTCCATCTCCATCCCGCCCTTTGGTGTCTCCCCCAGCAGCTTTAAACACTGCCTCATGTGTCCCCATGGGAGTCACTGATTAGGCGTCTCATCCCTAGAATCTTTCAATCAAAATAGAATACTGAATCACACGTGAAAGCGCATGTACCCACTAGCACCTTCATATCAGCAAACCTTAGCAATCAGCAGTTACCACCATGAAAGATCGGAATAAAGAACCATGAAGTGGGCTGGGGAGATGGCTCAGTGGAATAAGCACTTCCCTGGCAAGCGCAAGGGCCTGAGTTCAATCCCCCGTTCGGAAAAAAAAAAAAAAAAAAAAGAACCATGAAGTGTTCTTGGCCAGGAGAGTAGAAACCTTTGAGCTACCAAGATAAAGGGCACATTTTGGAAAAGGTAAGAGGCCCAGAAAGCCAAACAGACATCTCAGCGCTGTCTGGAGGTCTCTTGTGTAGGGCCTTCGGAGCTCCACAGTAAGGCCCACACTGGGAATGGAGGCGGCTTGTGCCCAGACCTGCTCTGAGGAGAATCAGTTCTCTGGGAAAGCTCTGTGAAAGTCATGCCACATGTTTTTAAAATTAGGAAATGTTTTCATTAGTGAGTGGGAAACTTTTTTTTTTTTTTTTTTTTTTTGGTGGAACCGGGGATTGAGCTCAGGCCCTTGCACTTGCCAGGGAAGTGCTTATTCCCCTGAGCCGTCTCCCTGGCCACCAAGGGACACTTTTAAAATTCAAATGATTTATGTTTCAAGTTAGAAGCAGGGATCACTGTGACCACTGAGATGTGCCCCTTCATCCTACCATGCCACTTAATTGTCTGCAAAACCCTTTTCTTTTTGCTTTGCAGTCATTAGCTATTTGAGTCCAGTCCCTCAAATGGGAGAATTTGTATTTTAATTAGAAAATATCAAGTACTTTGGGAAAGTGCCAAGTTACTCCTTCATAACTCTAACAGTGATGACAGGTGTAAAGCTGTGTTGGCATTTAATCCTTCCACGCCACGTTATTGAGGAAGCACTAGCGCAGCCTCACAGCGGCCAGGCTCCGTCACGCAGGGGGGAAAGCAGTCAGTACTTACCAGCTGCCGTGGGGTATAAATGAAGTAGCTTTCTCTTTTTATGTTAATTTTTTTTCACTTTCCACAGGTGTGTTAATAAAATTTGTAAATATGTGGCTGAGATGAGACGTATTAGACGTATTTCCTGTAAAAGCCATGTCTGTCTTTATTGAAGCGCACTGTGACATTTCTTTTGTTTGTTTTTACGCTAACCCTGCTGGCACATTAATTCTTACCAGAAGCCAAAGTGATTGCAGAGCTTTCGCTTTCATTATGCTGTCTGCCAGGGCAGTGTTTTATAATCAGATTTGAAGGTGGGTGGGTGCAAGCTCCAGGGGGAGGGCTGGCTAATTCAGTGAAATATCATTGATCACTTTCTCCTATTTCCAAGACTAGTCCCTAAATTGGCTATAACTCACGGCTGGTGAGCAGACCAGGGAAAATATTCAGTGCACTTGGGAAAGATTAGTTTTCTAATCTGGACTTCTAGTGCCTTTCTGCAGGCATCTGCTGGTCTGTAAAACATTCAGACTTAGAAAGGATCTTTTTGCTCCTGTCCACTTAGAACCCTTTTGCTGAAAATGAGGAATCACAGCAAAGGTCGATGAGGATTTTGGGAATGAACACTTGGGATCTTGCTCTGGAATTAATGAATTTTGATTGGAGCCTCTTTAATTCAATTCATGAGGTAAGTAGGGAATGAAAAGCTTAAAAGCACTAATGCTATTTTAACCACACATTCTTCAAGGTAATTATTTGTGTGGTCAGGCAGTTATGCTAGGGTTAGCGTGGCCCAAGAGATATTTGGGGACTTGAAATATATTGGAAGTCTGACCCCTTCCTAGGGAAATCAGAGTGTCTGATCCTACTGTATTAGATTCCTAGCGCTTGTATAATGCTGCTTATTATATAAATTAGTGTGGGCCTGCTGGATTTTTATAGATTTATATGGGCCTGTGACATATATATACGTGATGCTCAGAGATTAAAGAACAAATTTACCTTTGATATTCATATTTCTGGTTTTTATGATGTTTATAATAGTTACATCAGAATCATTTATATGTATGTGTGTACACATACGCATATTTATCCATTGACTTAACATTTCATAAATTTAAGCTGTGCTATGAGACTCAAAATATTTTTTTGGTAAATTCTGGTTATTTTCAAATTTTTCTGTTCACCAACTTCTTCCTCGAAGACAGATCACACATTTTGAACAATAGATTCAGGGGGAAATGCTAACAATGAGTAAATTTGGCTGGCAGAAAGTCTCCTAGGAGTCAGAGGCCAAAAAATGTTACAGCCTCGTGAATGAATATGTTGCATTTATTCTGCCATTGGTGGATAGAGTTGTGGTCTGGCCTGTATTGGTAAATTATTGGACCCAGCCCTTCATCTTATGTTCCTTTCTGTTTCACTTCTCCTATATCTTCTCTTGGTGATTTTCAAGGGGCGATTAACCAGGCCCCATTACCAACACCACCTGGAAGCTTGCTATACTCAACAGATTTTCCTAGCCATGCATGGTGGTGGGATCCCATGTGGATCCCCAGTTATCAGGAGGGTAACATTCTACAAGTTCAACACACGCCTGCACACCACAGTGGGCCTGTGTGTGAAAACAAAGGACCACAATGAGAAAAAAGAGCAAGCGTAAGGGAGGGGGAAAGAAGGGAAGGGGAGGAGAAGGGAAGGGGAAGAAAGGATTGTTTTTCAGGCTCCCCTGCAGACCTACTGATCAGAAAGGAGGGCTGGGTCCAGCCTGCTGCGCTCTAACAGTCCTCCGGGTTTTTCTCCTTCACACTAAAATTTGGTGACTGTTGGGTCTGATGAGCACTTTAACAAATACTAGTAATGCTAGAGCTCAGTCTCACGTGGGTTTTCCACAAAAAATGGATTTGGAAGTCTGTTTGGCCTTGATTTAAGCTTTTGGATATTTTACATTTTCCTGGAAAGTTGTTCTTACATTCTGAAAAAAAAAAAAAAAAAAAGAATTTTTTAACATGAGTATTCTAGGTGAACATTATAGAATAAGGCATCTTTAAAACTGAAGAATAATCTTTTTGAGTTTAGTATACTATTGTTTGCTATGTTTCCTGTTAGCATGTTAATGATATGGGAATGGCTTCCTGAGGCAGCTCTTACAAATGGCCTGAATTTTGTGTCAGCTTGACCTGATGCACTAAAAATAAACCCTGGAATGAATACATTTTCTTTCAGCAAGAGCTGATCTACTTCACCTTCAGCAGACAGGGAAGCGGGGAGCACACCGTAAACCTCAGCCTCCTGCTCCAGAGATGCAATCAAGTCCAGCTGTGGGTGGCCACGGAGATCCTGCTTTGCAGCCAGCTGGGCAAGCGAGTGCAGCTGGTGAAAAAGTTCATCAAAATCGCAGCCCAGTAAGTTTCTGGCAGTGACTAGTGCTCATGCTCACGTCTCCTTGAGAAAGTACATTAGTGTCATTCTACTGCCCTCCTCCATGGTAAGAAGGATTGGAAAACCGAAGTGTGGGGGCTGGCGAAATAGCTCAGCAGACTAAGCACCTGCTTAGGCAAGCGCACGGACGGGATTTGATCCCTGGCACCACACCCCGCACCAGTCCCACCTCTAGGTGCACTGAGCCGGCCTTCAAGACCAGGTGTGGTGGCGCATGCCTGTAACCCCAGCACTGTAGAGGCTGAAAACAGGAGGATCACTAGGAGCCTGAGCTGTGTAGTGAGACTCTACCAAATATACACATCCTCCTGTATATTTTAAATCCTCTCTAGATTACTTATACTATCTACACTGTATAAATGCTATGGAAATAGTTGGGCACTGGGTTGGTTATAGTGTAATAACAAGAAAAGAATCTATATGATCAGTACTGACACAATCTCATAGGTCTCCAGGGATTGCCCTCCATGGACTATATTTCATATATAGTGCAAGAGCTGCGATTGTCTGGATCCACTGATGGGAAACAAGAAAACATGGAAAGCTGACTGTAGATGACAGTGTAGCACATTCAGGACATACGTACTGATGGTTCATTATATGTGCACCATTTGTATATGTACATGTCTGTATAAGGAATTATGAGGAAACCAGCCGAGTCCACACCCGCCTGGGCCTGGGTTGGAGCAGCGTGTAGTCTGAGAGATTACTTGGCAGCTCAGCCTGCTGCTGAGAAGAGAATGGTGAGGGAGACCTCCTGTGAGCTGTCATTCTACTGAGGGCTTTAGAGGAGGGAAAGCTCCTCCCAGGGGTCAAGGAGCCTGATGATAAAACTGCCCTTTGAAGATCTGAATTGTGGGTGGGATTTGACAGCCAAGAGGTCAAGAGAGCACTCTGTCCATGGAGGGCGATCTGGAGAGAGGCAGAGCCTGTGGCCCGGTGAGACAGCCTCCTCCTCCATCTGGCAGGCATGGAGGAGTATTTGCAGGGAGTCTCTGGGAGACTGGTGTCCAAAGGAAGATGCAACCAAGCCGTACAGGATCTTGAATTTCATCTGAATGCAGGAAGAAAGAATCCTTTGAAAGTCGGTCAACAAGAGACTGATACAATGGGGGCTGCCCCTCAGCAAGGCTGACTGGAAAGTAGCCCAGGACTGCATGGCAGGCAGAGACCCCAGGAATGGGGTATCACATTGGCTGAGGCAAGAGCTTCTGGGGTCAGGGTCCTCTGTGACTGGCGTGGAAGGAGAGAGAACAAATAGACCTAAATTTTAGACTGCATTTTGTTGGGGAAAAATTTTTTTTTTTTTAATTCAGCCGGTGGATTCTAAAATGGGCAGTGAATTCTGAAGGTGAGGCTGTTTTGGGTGAAAACTTCCATATAAATGCCAGTTACATGAGAAAATAGACATTAATGTTCCAAGGAGTAATGTTCCAAGGACACTGCCCAGCTCCATTCCTGCTGTAAGACTATCTCTGTCCTCAGGGAAATAAAATATATTCACACATCTTTTCCATATAGCTCCATGCTTTTGAATTATTTATGGTACTGGTCTCTATCCTAGCCCACAGAATAGGATGCTAACAGAAACATAAAGTTAAATTCCTGATAATCACACTAGCAGGAATAACCAAGGGAAAACAGTAATTTCCACAATCATGAAGTGTTTTCCCTGCCTAAGGCATCCAATTTGCATATTCATACTTCCCCTCCTTGCCATCCCCATCCCCCACCTTCTGTGGATTGGGTGGGTTTTATTTCCTTACAAGAGACAAAGGAGGGTGTGCTGGACTGGCATGTTTAGTGTCAGACAGTTGTTCTTATCATGGAATGAATGATCCATGGAAACAGAAGATTCTGACTGGAATGATATCTAATATTTACATTATCAGTTTATCTCCTATAGATATTGTATATATTCTTTGAAAAAAGATTCAGGTGTGTGTGTGTATGTGTGTGTGTGTTTGGGTGGGTTTTAATATATGACTAACAAGAAAAGGCTTATGGATTAGGAAAATTGTTTTTGAGCAGCTAAAAGAAAAAAGATGGGAATTGTATTTAAAAATGTTATATAGAGAAATGACTCTGAATAAAAAATGAAATATTTTTACCATTAAAAATACACTCTCTCCACCAAAGTTTTTGGGTTCAACTTGAGCGAATGCTATGTGACAGACTTTTCTGTACTCAGCAGTCAGATATAGACAGAATATAAAAAATGAAATAGGCACACTGGAGCCGTGAGCAGCCCACTGTGAAGAGGGGGGTGGCATAGCTGATGGGGCCTCCATCAGAAAGGTACCCAGGAGTTAGACCACCAGCTGGGCTGCTTTGGGAGGGGGAGAGAATATTCTTACTGAGAAGAGCCTTAACAGAAGAGTTCATATTTCAAATGATCAAACAAGAAATGAACTAATTCATACCTGTTTTGGCTGCTGTGAGCTTTCGAGTCATGTAATAAGACAGAAAAGCTAGAACAAACCAAGCAAAGGGCAGAGGGGGTGGGATAGAGTCACAGTACAGAACTGAAGCCTTACACAGCAGCAGTTCTTAAAAACAGGTGGTCTTCGAAGTCTAAGGCCAGGGTTTTCCTGCTTCCGTTTATTCATGGAACATCCCTAGCATGATCCATGCAGAAGAAAGTTGGCAGGAAAGAAGGTGAAAGGCTCAACTAGACTGGGCCCCCAGGCTTCCTTAGGTTGGGCAGAGCCAAAGCTGGCAGCGCTCAGGAAAGACCATAATGGGGAGCCGCACAGTGTGGCCCCTGCAGGACTTGCATCACCCAGGGGTCTCTGGCAGTAGGTGTCGTGGCAGCAGTGACTTTCCAGCTCTGCTGTCCCTGGGCCTGAGCCTTCTTCCCTGTGTCGGAGCCCAGGCCCTAATGGGCAGGGTGCAGTCTATCAGGCAGACAGGACCTGCCAGCGTGCAGCTACTGTGTGTCCCTAGTTACTCTCCCAGCCCAAACCATTGCCCGGCTTCTGAACTAGACATTCTTTCTCCCTGCCTTCCCCGCAGGAAATGGTTATAGCTTTGACAGATGGAAGTTTGTGGTATAGAATGAAAACCTTTACAGTCTTCATAGCTTCTGTCCTGTTGTAACACAAGAGTACACTCAACCTGTCATTGTTCTGAGTTTTGTGTCTCACCACTCCAAACAGTGGCTGAGCCCAAGCCAAAGGAGGTGAAAAGCAAGAACGGTTTATTAAAAGAAAGTTCTTGGGGCCGGGGAGATGGCTCAGTAGGATAAGCACTTGACTGGCAAACGCAAGGATCTGAGTTCAATCCCCGGTTCCGCAAAATAAATAAATAAATAAATAAATAAATAAATAAATAAATAAATAAATAAATGAATGAATGAATGAATGAATGAATGAATGAATGAAAGTTCTTGAGAGGCTGAGGGGTCCAGAAAGTAGATTGCTGCTGAAGCTCTAGCAGCAAGTGAGCAAACTACGGAATATGTTGCCAGTGACATACTTTGGACCACTGATGATGATAATGAAGCCCAAGCCCTGTCAGCCAGCTGGCTTGGAAACTTGGTGTGAGCAGGGACTTGACTGATGTTACATAGAAGGACTAACCTTACAGAATGACTACACAGAAGTCACTGTGATCCTTCATGATCCTTTATTCTTCAAATGAGAAATCTAAGGCAGCCTCCGTATAGTATGTCCCATATTTTAAGTATAAGGGGGGTTTAGTGGGCATTTTGTTGGTGGTAGTGTGCCCAAGTGGAAGGGGAGGGGGAACCTGAACCATGGGGTGAGTAGGGCTTGTCTGTCAAAAATCATGACAGCGTACCAATGACAGCAACAGAACCACAGTGCTGTGCAACCAGGGCAAGGGGACATAGAGAAACGCAAATTCAAAGAGCATTCAGTAGGGACTGTAAGTGGATACAAAATAGCATTTAAAAGAGGAAGGATCTTACCTAATGTCAGGAGAGTGTCAGGAGCAGAGACCTTTTCCAGAGGCAAGGAGGGAATTATTCCTTTTGTATTAGAAACAGCGGAGGGGCTGCCACCCTCCACAGGCGTTGAAGGCTACCTCAGCCAGACTCTGTGGGCTGAAAGGGGCTTTTCAGCCTTATCTTGTGTGTTCACCCATTGAAAGAATGTTTGTTCCAAGTGTCTTCTGCTTTGCTTTATTCCACAGCTGTAAAGCCCAGAGAAACCTGAATTCTTTCTTTGCTATTGTGATGGGACTCAACACTGCTTCTGTCAGCCGACTGTCTCAGACCTGGGAGGTGAGCCCAGGGGATTCCCAGGGAGGCGGCAGCCCAGAAACATGACAAGGAAAGTGAATTTAAAATGAATTTGCTTCAGTGGTTGAAACGAGATAAATACTAACCTAAACTGGAAGCAGGAAAGTCATGTCTTAAGGTGGTAGGGTGCATCCCATCAGATGGCCTTTACAGTGGTTCTCTTAATGCAAATTAAAAGATCACAGAAATTTCATCCTAACTCCAGAAATAATGGCTGTCATCAAGAAGTCAAATAGTAACAGATGCTGGTGAGGCTGGGCTTGGAGAAAACCCTTCTGTGTTATTGGTAGGAACATGGACTAATTCAAGTGCTGTGAAAATCAGTATGGAAATTCCTCAAAGAAAAAGACAAAAATAGGAACTCCATTTATTCCCTACTTCAGTATCTTTCCAAAAGACTTAGAGTCATCATATTACAGCGGCGCATGCTTAGCCATGTTACAGCAGCACAACTCATAGTGAAATTGTGGAAACAGCCTCTGTGGCCCTCAAGAGGGCTGGGGAGATGGCTTGGTAGTCTAAGTGCCTGCCGAGCGTAAGGATCTGGGTTCAGTCTGCTACACCACATGCCTCGCCAAGCCGGCCACCGAAACCAGGTGTGATGGTGCAGGCCTGTAATCCCAACACTGGGGAGGCTGACACAGGAGGATTGCTAAGAGTCTGAGCTACATAGTGAGATTCTGTGCCAAATAAATAAATAAAAGGTTTCTTTTTTTAAAGAGGTGAATGGGGGGCCTGGGAAATAGCTCAGTAGAATAAGCGCTTGCCTGGCAAGTTCAGAGGCCTGAGTTCAATCCCCAGTTCCACAAAAAAAAGAGGTGAGGGGGTGGGGGCTGTGGAGATGGTTCAGTGGAATAAGCGCTTCCCTGGCAAGTGCAAGCACTTGAGTTCAATCCCCAGTTCCACCAAAAATAATAATAATAATAAAATAAAAATTAAAAAAGAGGTGAATGGATAGGAAAAATACAATACTACACACAATAGGGTGCTGTTTTGTCATGAAGGATAACACTGAGTCATTTGTAGGAAAACGGATGTGCCTTGAGACCATAATATTAAGTAAATCAAAACCCACAACCTTAAATACCACACAGTTTCTCTCACATGAGAAACCCCAAATACTGTAAGGATCAAATCATAAGAAAAGTAATAGAAAGGAAGGTAGGTCTTTCCCAAATGGGAAGAGGACCAAGGGATGACGGGTGGGGAGGGTGGAAGAGGAGGAAGGGATTGAAAAATGAACTAAGATGTGTTACCTGCATGTGCCAGCTCCCCACAGGAGAGCACTCATTAGGTCCTACAGTCATGCACTAATAAAAAAATACACCAAAAATAAAATTGCTGTCTAATATATGCACACTGTGGAATGCTCGCCCGCTAGAATTAGCCTCCACTTCTGGGTCCCTGGTGCTGTGCTGGCCTGTGTGAGGGCGGGCAGAGGTGAGTCGGAAGTGGGCTTGCCGCAGTGTCTAGTGAATGTAAGCGCCAGGGCCTCTCTCCTCCAGGACGCCGGCTCTGTGTTCATGATGCATGTGCTGTGCAGTCTGCGAAAGCAATCTTGCATTCTTTTTCTTAAAGAAGACCCACAAAGTGTAATAAAGTTCAGGCCTCACGAAGCGAAGTTCAGGCTTTGCTTCCTTCTGTCTGGGCTGTAAGATGAAGGAGCCCACCTGGGTTCAGAGGCACAGACTTGCAGGTCACGAGGTGGGAAGAACTGACCTTGGGGCTTGTCCGCTTGCCCAGTCTCTTCCATGCCCCTGCCCCTGCCCCTTGTTCTGGGTATTTGTTTCCTCCGTCTCCTTTTCTCTCTGACTGGCTGCCCCCCTCTATGCACCATTGTCTCCCTCATCTTTCCCTTTCTTCAGCTCTCCTGGAGGGCGAGAGCCTGTGAGCAGCTCACTAGTCTCCTGGGCTTCTCTCCAGCATCCTCCTCCACTCTGTTCTGCTCACCCACTGAGCCTTTCTCTCAGACACCCTGGCCCAACTCCCACAAGAGACAAGCTGATGGGCCAAGCTCTGTCTCCTACCAAGTCTCAGCAGAGATCCTCTGGGCAGGCCGTAGGTCCACTCTTAGGGCAGGCTGCTCCCAGTGGAAGGCATTGGGGTGACCCAGGGTCAGGGCCAGTGCACCTGAAAGGGCTCAAAAGAAAAGCAATGAACAAACATAATGTCAAATAAAATAATCCAGAAATAAAGAAGTTTATATGACAAATTTCCTGTTATATAGACTGAGATTAGGCAAAAAAAAAAAAGAAAGAGGAAGAAAAAGGAAAGAAGGAAACAAAGAAAATAAGAAAAAAGAGAAAGAAGAAGGAAAGAAGGAAAGAAGGAAGGAAGAAGAGAAGAAAGAAAGACTAATTTATGTGCTTTAAGAAAAGCAATGCTTTCCTGCTCAATCCCACATGACCCTGTGCTCATCTTAAAATGAAAGGAGATGAGTGACGGATTCCACAGATGATCAGAGCAGGAGGGGAACAGATGGTAGCAAGGGACTGTGAGGAGCAGAATTACAGTTAAATCTCAAAAGAAATACTGGGAGCAAATTGAATTCAGCTCAGATAGCGTGTGTTTAGTCAGGTACTGACCCTCTGTCATGTGCAGGGCGCTGCACTACCCCCATGGCCGAAAGGAACAGAGTGCATAGCAGGAAGGCACTTCTGAACCAAGTCCCCCCGGGTAAGGGAGAAGACGGGAAAGTTCATTCTGCCGCAGGGAGCTGAGAAGGCACTCATAAGCCCCAGGTGGGGCGTTGGAGAAGGAGCTAGCAATGGCTGAGCAGGGAGCGGCAGTCTAACACAGAGATGCCCGCGGGACCTTTGGGTCTTTGGATCTGGTGACTAACTAAGGAAAATGATCACACTTCCTGTGTAGTTAATGTAGGAAAAGAAGCAGATTTAAGGAGTTAGATCAGAGGCCAGCAACTTTTGAGTAAAATGCCACATAGTAACTGTTTTTAGGCAGTGCAAGCCATAATTCCTTTACTCAGCCACCATAGTGCAGGAATACCATGATTAATACATAAATGAATGGTGGCAGGGTTCCAGTAAAACTTTAGTTACAGAAGCAGGAAGTGGGCCAGATCTGGCTCTTGGCTAACTTCTGGAGTAGACCAAATTAACTGACAGACTGAGTTTCAACTGCCACTGTGTGGAATATCAAACAAAGATTAGCAGCTCGAAAGAAATAGTGAAGAGTTGGGTGTAGTGTTGCATGCCTGTAATCCTAGCGGTCAAGAGGCGAGGCAAGAGGCTTACCACAAGTTCAAGGGCAATCTGGACATTGTAGAAAGATCCTGTCTTTAAAAAAGAAAACGAAAGAAAAAAAGGCTGGGAAGATAGAATGCTGTAAGTGCCCGCCTGGCAAGAGTGCTACAACTGGAGTTTTTTTAATTTTGTTATCTTTTTATTTTATTTAGGATAGGGTCTACAGGGTCTCACTGCGAAGATCGGACTCACAGTGATCCTCCTGTTTACAGGCTCCCAAGTGCTGGGATTACAGGTGTACCTCATCATGCCCACTCTCATTCTCTGTCTCAGCGTGCCCCAGGAGTGGGGCCGGCATGGCAGGCCTGAGAATCATACTCCTGGCCCCTGCGTCTGCCTTAATCCACTGAGCTGTTTGGCTGGCCCAACAACTGGAGTTTGATCCCTGGTGCCGAATGCCATGCTGTAGAAACTGGGTGTGGTGGTGCACACCTGTAATCCCAGAGCTGGAGAGGCTAAAACAGGAAGATCACTCCAACTCCAAGTTGGATAGCAAGATCCTGTACTGAATGAATAAATAAATAAGTAGTTAAAAGAAAAAAGTTTCTTTAAAGAACAGAGTAGAAACAGTTGCAAAACTCTACATTCTGTATCTTTTCATTCATTCATGGGGATGGGACAGTGGTTTCCAACAGATTGAACTCCCTGTTTGCTGAAATAAAACAATCCAGGCGCAGAATTGCCAAATTGAAAAAAAAATTTCTGCACAAATAATTTAAAAGTCTAATGTAGTTAGCCTCATTATTTTATTCAATTTGGAAACAGAATCTCACAAACATCTTCTTAATATTTCTCACTGATAACTGTAATGTATTAAGTGTCAGCTGTGGGCTGCACACATTTCCTGAATTGCTGCCGTGTCTGTAGCTGAAGGAACGGAGACCCTAGAGCTTGGAGACTCATGCCAAACCCATAGAGCTGGAGAGGGGCAGAATCAAAATGCACACAGAGCCTTTCAGCCACGGAAGGCTGCTAAGTCAGTACAGAAGGCATCCACTTCTTCACCTGAGTTAAAGTCATGCTGGAACATTCCAAGTGTGTTTGGTTTTCTGTTGTTTCATTTGGCCCAAGTGAGCCGGGGAAATGGCTCAGTAGAGTAAGTGCTTGCCTGGCAAGCGCAAGGGCCTGAGTTCAATCCCCAGTTCTGAAAGAAAAAAAAAAAAAAAAAAAAACCAACCCCAAACACACAAAGCTTATTATTTGGCCCAAGTTGTAGGCTCCCATCCTCCATGTGACCTGTTGATGTAGTTGAGCTTCACAACTCAGGCATTAAATCATGTCCCTTCACTACTTAGCCCTTTGCTGTGAAACACAATTACATTGTTTATATAAAAACTGTCAGCTAGCATTATTATTTGGCATTCAACAAGACTGTGGAGAAGAGGGGCATACTCCTCAAAGGTAGGAGTATGCCACTAGAGTCCACATTTTTATTAAATAATCACCAGTGGGTGGAAAGCCTAACCAGCTAGCCTCCTGAATGATGTGGCTGTTAATGCTATTTTTAGCCCCATCCCTAAGGAATGTCCTATTAAGAGGGTGATGAAAACCATATAGTGAGAAGCAAGTGGGACAGAGTCAGAAGGTGGAGGTACTTATGCCCCGAAATGGCGCAAGTAAGCACAACTTAATGAAAAGTCCTCTCAGTGTATCTCAAAGTAACTCTCTTCTGTGAACTTTGTCTTTTGTGTTTTTTAGAAAATCCCTGGGAAGTTTAAGAAACTTTTCTCTGAACTCGAAAGCTTAACAGTAAGTAGCTGAACTAGAGCCCTTATTCTTCTAATTAGTCTTCTAGATTATAACGGTTGGTTCCTGCACTCTTTGTAGTCAGGTAGCTCCAACTAGTTTTGCTTGCATATGAAACATGTAGCCTTGCTTCTTAAGGAATGAGGTAAAATGATGGTAAATGCTCCTTCCTTGCCATCTACAAAGGGGACCAGCACGGTCCTTTCAGTGTCATTTTCAGGAGGCCGACTTTTACACATACTTCAAAGCCTACAAAATGAATCAGTACAAACTGAGTGTGTAATCAGTGTCCTGTGCATTATTTTTTCCTTGTTTTCACTTTGTTTTAGACTTAGGGACAAAGCGTACAGTTTCTTTTTAGAACAATACGACAGCTTTCTTGTTTTCTCTGCATAGCCTATGCATTAAGAGGGTAGTTTTCTCCGCATTGTACCTAACAAAAGACCAAGGTTATCTCGTGATCAAAATTATGCAGAGGAAACTGAGCTTAAAGAACCTATTTGAAGAAAATAATAGGGTAATCAAAGATGTCTCTCTTTTGCAGTCATTTCCCTTTATTGTAAACCAATAACTTGAGTTGCATTCATTGCCTAGATTTCCTGCCCTTATTTAGTGAGTTTATTCTCCTAGGAAACCTTTATCTACTTCGTTCATAGGAAGAACCTCTCTATATCTAAGCCGTGTTCAAATTGTATGGGAAAAATAGATTGAGAATTGTTTCTGTCCCACATTGATTTTCTTGCTCTTTGTAATCTGCTTGGTTTTGCAGGATCCTTCCTTAAATCACAAAGCCTACAGAGACACATTCAAAAAGATGAAGCCACCAAAAATCCCTTTCATGCCCTTACTGCTTAAAGGTAATGATTTTCTGTCTTTCATGCTATGTAATTCCATCATGCCGAAATTTATCATTCTAACTGTAGAAGACACAGAAGGAATCCTCAGTATATTGGATTGCAGTCATTTTGATCTTTGAATTTGTTTTACTTTTGATAGTTTTTGAAATGTTTATTTTTCAATACCTGCGATGCTTAATTGTGCCTGAGCAGATGTCAGACCATTTTACACTTGACTCATTAAGCTTGACTTGTATTTTATTTTACTTTTCTATTTGTACCAGGAATTGAACTCAAGGCCTTGTACTTTCCAGGCAGACGCTTATGCCACTGAGCTATATCCCCAGCCCTTTTATTCTGTTTTTAATTCCCGTGTTATTTTCTTTTGAGTCTGTGATATAGTTAGTTCACACAAGAAGAAGGCTAGCATTTAAAAAAAAAAAAAAATGGTGACATGGTATGCTCAGAGGCACAGTGTCCTGTCACATGTGAAATCCCTTTGGTCAACACAAGCAATATAACGCATGGAAATCACTGGTAGCGCACTTCCTCTTTCCAAGTGTGGGGTCCACTTGAGAAACTATTAGACGGCTCCAAGTTAGACCACTGAGTTTTCTTCTGTAGGTCACCAGAATTCTTCATGAAATCTGTCAGTTAAACTCTGTCCTCTCTCTTTCAAACCAAGGGCATTACTGAAAGAGAGCTCACTGGAATCCGGCCTGTTCTGCTAGCATTCTGTGTATATCTTAACGTGTGGGCTTTGTAGGGAAAGAGGACATGGGAATTTTTCCTGACTGTATTTTAATTCTTTCAAGGAATTTTGTAGGTATTCTTTTTTATCCAGCCTCTGTCCTCAGAGGTAGCCTCTGATGGGTCAGGCCTTCTTAATTGGACACTTAAAGTGATTCTGGAAACGGGTTGCCTGGAGTCGCATTGTGGAGTGGCCTGTCCATCCTCATCCCCTCCTCCGCCCAGCACACCTCTGCTGGCACGCAACACGATTGCCTCTCCTGCCGCTCCCGAGAACCACCAGAGACTGGAGACCTTGCGAGTTGCAGCTGTGCAGCCCTCCCTGTAGTTTTCATGTAACATGTAGCCAGAGTCCCTGTGTGACACAGATATAATATTAGGACAATTGAGGGTCGTACAGAATGCTTCACTCCAGCTGAAAAGATTCTATTAAGTATAAATGGGTGATAGAAGGAGAGATTGCAGTGCCAAAATAACAATGTAAAAGTTCATACGATTTTTTTTCCTTCACGGATTCGCTTTTAAGATAAATTTAGTCAGCTTCCTGCTTTTTATTTGCAAAATAAAATGACTTGAAACAGTAAACTCTTCTATAGTTCTGAGAAATAAGTGGACAGTGTTCCTTTAAATTAATTAGAGAGCAGAGCTTTCTGCGCTATGTTAATGCTTCTTCTCCCAAAATGTTCAGCGCAGTGAAGTGTTTCGCGCGTCTTCGTTGGATGCAATTTTCTGCTCTGCTGAGTTTATCTAGACTTTTTTGTTGGCAGCAAAACAAATTTGCCTTTTTTCTACTGAAACGCATTTAATCATTGCAAAAGAACAAGTAATAAATTAAGCACTTTTCTTTTCATTAGAAGTCTTCTTGAGTTTAAGCACTATTTATCTTAATTTTTAGTCTTGTAAAAATTAAACATCAGCTTCATTCTTTAAAGTTACCATTTTTGTCAGAAATCATTTCCAAAGCCAAATAGGATAAAAACTTTAAAGACAGATGATAGATATATAGATCCACATACAGATAATCTTGCCTGAGATGAGATACTGAGATATCTTGGGGAAAAATACACAATAATAACCCTTAGTTTTGTTTTGTTGAAGGGGTTGTTTTATGGGGTGGATTGGGAGATTAAGTTTGGAGGGTTGGGTTGATTTGGGTTGCTTTGGCTTTTTAAAACAAGGTCTCACTATGTAGTTCAGGCTGGTCTTCAACCCTTAGCCCATGCTGGCCTCAGAATCATGGCAATCCTCCTGCTTCAGCCTTCTGAGTGGTAATGTTATAGGCATGTACAAGTACCCCTGACGATTCATAGGTCTTCAAGTTGCATAATTATTTTTGAAGTTGTATTACACTATTTTAGAGCAACTAGCTGAATTTTTCATGAAACCTCTTATTGCTCCCTCTTTTTCATTTGTATTTTGAGTTTCTTTTAATTAGAAAACAGAACCACATTGAACTCTTTGGGAGTTTCAGAAGGATTGGGCCTCTCCTGTTTCGGTGACTGGAAAGTCAGTTCCCCTAAGCACATAGGTTATTGAGTCAGTGGATTACTTCAGAATCCTTTAGCCAGTGGTTCTCTTTCCCAGTTGAACGGTCTTGCTTATTGATGAGCTTTCCCCTGCGGTGGAGTGGCATCGGAAGGGGGTTAATGGGAAACTTTCAGGCAACATTGGGAAAGGTTCCTGCTAAGGAATGTGAGTCATGTGGAAGTAGTGTGTGCAATGGCTGTTCTTTTTGGAGACAGCAGTCCCTTGCATTGAGAGATCCAGAGGCTTTTGAGGAGTAACTGAATTCCTGTAGGGGTTGGCTGCATTTTAGAGTGAAGATTACTACTGCAGGTGTGTGGGTTGTTTGAAGGAAAAGAATGTTCTCTGTTTCTTCGTCTTCCGCTTGCCATGCCTTCATCCTGTAGTTCTATTTTATGAGGCGTTTCAAGAGTGCAGTTGTCTCCAGGTGAAAGGAGCTTTGCAAGTTACACCCCCAAAACATTTGTACGTTTGAATTTGGGGGGCCAACTTTCTCTTATTTTGCATTCCCTTCTCTTCACATACCTGCATGTAACAGCATCGAACATCAGTCTCCTGAAGCCTTTCGGCTTCCTTGGATTGCAGCCTGCATCCCCCATCTGCTCCCTGCTCTGCTCCTTCTTGCCTCACGCCCACAATGGCTTCAGTCCCACTCAGCCCTGGGTGTCAGGGAGCAGTGGTACCATCTCCTCCCTGAGGCCTTGGTAGTTATTAAGAGGGAATTTCCAGCAGGAGAAGAGATTTAAGGCAGGAGGGAAGATGTACAGGGAGTAGTGAGGGAAACACCTCAGTAGCTTGACTGTAACTGGCAGTAAGAAAAGTCTGTCTTTTTCTGTTTTCTTTTTCCTTGTGGCACTGGAGGTCAAACTTGGGGTCTTATACACACAGCAAGGCCATTACCTCTGTGCTTCATCTTCTGCCCATTCAAGTGCTTTACCTTGAGGTCCCTGGGAGGCCCCTAGAGGAAGTGCTGCCAGCCTCCCTGGGTTTGCATCCTGTCTGTGGCCTTGTAGCTGGGAGCAGGGGTCAGCTGTGGGCATCCTTTGTACCCCAGTTTCTTCCTATGCTTCCCCTTCCAGAGATGAAATGTGTTCATTCCGTCTCACGTTATTGTCACTGTCCTCATCATCACCTGTAGGAATGTAGGAGAGCAGGAACAGTGATAACCTTGTAGCCCTGGGGAAGGTTTGGCCCTTGTAGCTCTGAGAGGCATCTGCAGCCTGGACCTCTTGGGGAAGAAGTAGAGGGCCAGAGTCCAGGGTGTTCAGTGTAGTCAGAGTGGGCCTGGTATTCTACTGTACATGAAAGGTAAAAGCGAATTCCCTGGACTGCTGTTTTATAATTACTGTGCCATGGAAAGAAAGCTTACAGTTATTGGAAAAATTGTGAAAGCTAGTAACTAGTGTGTTAAAAGATCGTTTAGTTGGGAATGATTTAGCTGCTAGAACAACAGTTTAAAAGAAAAAAATAGGGGGAAAAAAGAGCCCATGAAAACATTACAAGCCATCCTGGAAGCTGTGTACAAGGATACCGTCGAGACAGAGTTGTACCACGCTCAGAGCTCGCTGGTCCAGTGTGCTGAGGGCAGATTCAAGAAGCACCTGCCTTTTAATATCTCCTGGGGATCCCCCGAACAAGTCTTCATGTAAATACAGTCTCTTTCTATTTATAGACGTTCCAGAGCTGTTATTCTCTCTCTTTTCAAAAAGATCATTTTAATGAGACTTTTGGAAATCATTCTTACTTGGTTGACCTTCCATGTTCATGAAGTAACATGAGTTCTTAGATGTCCTTTAATTTGTACTGTGTTTCGTGTTGTGATCCTCATCTGCAGGGCTTTCCTCAGACCCCGTAGGGATCCTCTGATCTCAGGCTGTGTACATAATTCTCGGAGCTTCTGGTGCTCTTTAATGCGTTTAATTTGCAAATCCCTGTCTTTTCGGTTTGTTTGTTTCTGTGGTCCTGGAGATGAGACTATGGGAGGACCCTGCCGGTGAGTGCCACCTCCCACTCCACTCTCACTTAGAACCTAGTGAGTCTGGAATCCCACTTCCCTTCCCTTCCTCCACCTGCACTTCATTCCGCTTTCCTTGTTTCGTTTTCATCATTGGTCCTTTCTTTCTATCCAGTCAGATAGAGCCAGAAATCTTGACCTTTTCAAACACACCCTTTTCATTTGCTTTTTTACTTTTTATGATGCTGGAGCTGGAACTTAGGGCCTCACACTTGGTAGGCGGGCACTGCACCACTGAAAAATTCCCACCCCTCACTCTGGTCAGGAATACACAACCAGGTACTGGCAAAGGATACCAGAAATTTAAATATAAACAGCTAAATCTGAGTCTTAACTGTCTTATTTAACATAAGCCCCATAAACCTTGTGAGGGATTTTTTTTTTCTTTTGAAAAGTGAATACATAAATATTAAAATCTTGTTGTTTATAAGTATTCATGTATGGATCAAATATGTTACAAAATAGCATTAATTTTTAAACAGTAGAGTCACTTCTCTGTAAGTGCAAAATTGTTCTTTCAGCAGTGTTACACTGTCGCCTCTCCCCGATCCCTGTATGAACCAGGCGTCTTCACATTAGGTTTTCTACAGATGCAGTTTCAAGTTGCCTTACCAAATGCATGGAATTGTTGGACTGTTTGTAGACTTCTTCAGCCTTAGTGCATGACCCATCCCTAATGGTATATCTATCTTTTTGTTTTTGATTTCCAGATGTAACTTTTATTCATGAAGGAAATAAAACATTTTTGGATAATCTTGTCAATTTTGAAAAGCTGGTATGTAAATTTTACTATTTCTCCTTTTTCTCACTGAAAAGAAAACATTACATTTGTCTTTCCTGCTCTAGTAAACTTTGACCTTTATCCTTTATCTCCTATAACCTTTATCTCCCCTGAACCAGAGCTTATGCTGTACGTTATGGATGCACAATATATCCCAATTAAAAATAAGTGGTCTAGCAAGGGCTTGAGAACCAGCTGCTATGGAATTGGGCCTTTCATTTTAAAACATGGCACTTCATTAGATGAACATCAGTGTCTGAGTGTCCTTCATGGAACCGGAAATAAACATGTAGGGCTCCCATCAGCAGTTGTAGTCACGACCGAGCCTTGCTGCTTTTTGAGGTACAGGCAAGAAAGTCCTCCAAGTACTGTGTCAGTTCCCTCTAATATGAGTCTTGGATTTCTGGGGTATGTGTGTGAGGGGAAGGGCTACCCTGTTACCAGCCCCTGACAAAAGGTCTCCTTGTTTGTGAGTGGGAGTCCCCTCTCAGTGCTCGTTATGGGTTCCTGAATAGCTTCTTCCTGAGTGACTTCCAGCACATCGCCAGGCCCTCTGTCCTCCAGTGGTCAGAGGACATCTTACATCCTTCCTCCTCTCTTTCTTTCTCACCCCTCTTGTGGTCTTTTCTGCTATCTACACCAATCCAGCAGAAGCCCTTTAATGGCAGCTTTTGTGTGCTAAGACCCCAGCGAACCACAGGGACTAAAAGCCTTAATGATCCTGGGTTGTCATGATACAGGAGTGCTCCAGAGAGCCCCATTGACCACAAGAGTGAATTTATCTGACAGGAATATTAGTGCCATAGATTAAATGTGCAGTCATGGTTCAGGGCGAGCCTGGTAGCCCTTCTCCAAGGGCCCTGACCTTTGAGCGACCTTTTCAGTAATGCAGATAGACTTGTGTGAACTCTCATTGACTGACCCCTGCTCCCCATGAGACTGGGTCAGGCCTTTGAGAGAAGGTTGATTGAGGCAGGGACCACAGACCATGACCAAGGAGCATGCTGGATGGATAGGCACCTGGGAGGGCTGGTGTCCGGCCTGTGCCTCATGAGTGCTCTTTTCTGATCGTCCGGTCAGCCTGCTGCACACAAGATAGCAGCACAGCTCCACACTCCCACACAGCTGGGTTCTGACGGGCGTCATGGAACACCTTGCTACAGCTCTCTTTCAGCCGCTCATCAGAACTTAGTAGTTTTCGATGCTACAGTCAACCACCACAGTCAGAAATGGATCGAGTGTTCCTTTCTCTGTGCTTCCGCGTGATCTCAGGGTCACAGGACACCCGTCAGCAGTGAAAGGCTGCAGTCAGGAGAATGCTCATCTCCAAGCCAGTTCATCTCTAGCATTGGCTATTAATGATGTATTTGCCATACAGCAAAGCTCCTGATCAGTAACATGCTTTGCCTGTTGGCCAGCACATCTGGTTTAGAGCACCCACTGAGCTCTGTGGTCAGTGGGGTTGTCATGCCAAATAGAATGCCTGAAACCTGGTCATTTTTCCCTCTGACCCAAAAGGGACCCGGGAAGCAACTCTACATTTTATAGCCAATTGCTACCTGTTCTAAGAGCAGACCGGTGGCTGAACTTCTTCAAGTGAGCCAGGGCTTTGAAGTTCATTCGTTCCCTTCAGATGGCATCACTAAAGTGAGAGAACAAACCCGTAGATCCTTGAATGAGAAAGAGCCTTAGAGGGATTTACTGCATCCTTCCTACTCTCTTTGTTTCTCACCCCTCCTGTGATCTTTTCTGCTTCCTACAACAATCCAGCAGAAGCCCTTTAATGGCAGCCTTCTTGTGCTATGACCCCAGCTAATCACAGTGACTAAGACAAAGCCTTAATGACACTTACTCCATTAGGGCCAATAATTGTGTCTTTAGTTTTTAAGAAAGTTTAAGGATGTAGCATGGGATAAGTAATATTCTATTTTAAATTCTTAGAAAATGGGCACAGTTCTGCATGCCTCACAGCACACACACATGCTACCAACAGACAGTTCCTGGCACATCCTTTATGACAGGAACAGATTTTGTGGTACCAGTGAGCTCCATGTCCTCAAGTCAGGTAGCACTTGAGACGCAGTGTGCCTCTTGGGCTGACCCCTTCTTACATGCAGAAGCCACGGGGCAGTTGGAATTTTTTCCTAAAGGACAAAAATCAACCTGATAGCATACCTAGACCTTTGGTACCCATGGCTGCTGGTGAAAGACACTGCCCTTCCTAGTAGAAGGAGTATTTTTAAGGACTATCTCTTAGCAAAGGAGAGGGTTTTGCTCAAGCTAAAACAGGATCATCTTTCACAATAATGAACCAATAAAACCTAAGTGAATTAACTTGTAAGAAGCCAATTCCTCATGATGGATATTAAGTTAAGCCAGCGAGCAGATGATTCAGTGTATTACCGTTATCTGGCTGACACAGGCCAACACATTAAATCAGACCACATGCAGATCCGAAGTGCTCATTTTCTAATAGGATTTCTATTGTTCCCTGGGCTGAGCTCCTTGCTGCCTCAGCACTCTGTTTCTACCTCAAACATTAAATGATGAAGAAACAAAAGATTCCTCCTTTTTGTCTCATCTCTCAGTATTACGAGTATCATCTTTTGCCATATCTCCCGTCTCTCGCTTCAGAAAGCCTAAAGATGAGAATCAGGACTCAGATTTCAGTGCCGCATTTGGTACTGGGCCTTACATCAGCTCAAGCCTTGCAAATGCACATGATAGAAATCAATGTGACGCCTCCACTTAAAGCGAGAAAACCGTCCTGGGAATCGGGTGAAATTTGGGGAAGGAAATGTAACAATGCATTTACACACACGTGAGTCAGGTCTCGTTTCCTTTGCCAGTGCCGCATGAGCTGCTGCTCTAATCACGGTCCCATTTCATTTTCCACTATTGAGTGGAAGTGCATTAGCAGTACAGTTCTGAGAACAATTCAATCAGTAGGCTATATTCAAATAACATTTCGGTCGTTCTTCTGGATTTTGAGCGAGAAATGTTTTAGTGTTAGCACTATATTTTCAGCAGCGCTTCATTGAGGGCTAGCCATGTGGAGGTGCTCTGTGTACACTGTATGCAGGCAGGACACCAGTGACACTGCCTCTTGGGGCCTTTGGAGGCCCGGATAATAAGAGATGTTCATTCTCCAGTAAGAGTATGACGTATGGATTTCTATACAGAATAATGTAGGGCATTATTTCAGATTCTCCCTGGGACTAGAACATGACAACACTATTTAGAGATTATTCTAGGCCTGTGTCAGAGGAACTATTGTAGATTGTGGCCTTTTCCAATGTGCCGTGTTTCCATTGCAGAAAACTAAAAATAGCAGAGACAGGTAGAAAACAAAGATACCGAAATAGGACGTGGTGGAGTTTTGTTAATAGCAACTGCAAATTGAGCGAGGCTTTTGCCTGGAGATCAGTGAAGATGTTAAACAAAGAAAATATTGAAGGCATTAAGAGGGACTATAAATTATAAACAGAAAATTACATGACAAAGATGTTGACGCTGTAGAAAACATTCATCTTTAATAAGCATCTTGCCTTCTGCCACCATTTGAGCCTTTGTAGCTCCACCTTCCAACCCCGTGCAGCAGGGCTATGTGAGGCTGTGTAGGACACATGGTAGGTGCTGGGTACCCTCTAGTGGTACCTGGTGGAGAGGAAAAGATAAGCCCTCTTGTCACTGCAGTGGTAGTGACAAGCCCAGCGCACACTGGAGAAAACAGTGAGCATCGGGCAAATGGAGCATCCCAACGCCCGAAGAGACATCCCAGAAAGGCTTCATTTTTTCACCATATGTTTTCCCATGGTTCATCTGTACCATTTGGGAGCCACTAGTTTTGCAGACAAGGACTAAAATATTCTCTATCATTCAAACACAACATAATCATTCAAATGTTGTGCTCTCCCAGTGTAGCTGATCCATTTACACCCAACTCTGATGTTAGACCATCCATCCATGGTCTTAGACTCTCCGTCCACCCCTGCAGCCAGGCTACTTCAGCAACACCCTAAGTGACCCCTCCTCCCACTGACGTGCTTCTTTTGTTGTCTTGCAGCACATGATTGCAGACACTGTACGAACCCTGAGACACTGCAGGACTAACCAATTTGGTGAGTAATTGAAGTCAGGTGTAGAGTGTAAATTGACTGCATATCAGGCCTGACTGTGACTGTGTCAAAAGTATTTGGTGGTAATAAATGTAAACGGCTTATAAAGTTTAGTGCATGTACAGGTGTTCGTATTGTATGCATATTGTAGATTCTCACTTTGTTTCCTCCCTGGGATGTTTGGGACTAGAGGAAGACAAGGCATGGCAGATCCTTTCCCCCTCATCGAAGCTGGTTTACTCTGTCCAGAGGGCCTTCAGACAGTTGGAGGCTCCTTGCCCCACCCCACCCCCAGAAAGTCTTGCTTTGCTTCCCCTGTATCTTAACTAACTGCTGAGTTTAGCAGAGTGAACCTAGCCCTGACCTCCTTACCCAGGGCCTTCCTGGAATAGGACTCTAGTCGTGTAAAAGTGTCCAAAGCAGCCTTTCCAGACTTCTCTCCTCTACAGCAAAACCTTCCTGTCTAGAGCTGCCTTTCCACTGAACACATACTTATCTTAGTACATGTGTGGGCTCCCCACAGAGATTATGCACGTAGGGATATTTGTTCCATTTTATATCTCAGCCATCCCTCACATTGTGTTTAAGTGGTGCCAGCGCATTGCAGGAAGGAAGGAAATGGACTGTGCTGAGCTGAAGGCGCTTTCTCGGGCAGTAGCTGTGAGGACAGTCCTAGCGAGTGGGCTTCTTAACCCTGTAGGTGCAGGAGAGAAAATTGAGGTGGTGAGAGGCTGAGTCACATGAACCAAGACGGCCTGACTCTCTCACCCTGACCTTGGCTTTACACGGGCAGATTATATAAATACAGAGACCATGAATGTAAAAATTTTAAAAGTAGGTACAGGAGTGTTCATAGAAAATCAAAGCCCCACCTCCCAAGGAAAGTGTTAGAAACTATTTGGTAGATGTTCTTTTTATTTTTGAGGGGAAGAGATTGGTTTTTCTGAGACAGGTCTTACATTGCAGTCCTGGCCTTAGACTCATTGTATAGCCCAGACTGGCTCCAGCTGGCAGCAGTTCTCTTGCCTCGGCCTTCCAAATGCTGGGATTCCAGGCATGTGTCACCATGTGCCCAGCTAGTGCACATTCTTTCTTTCTTTATTTTTTTTAATGTACTTGGTTGTTACAGGGTCTCACTACACAGCTCAGACTCAGAGTGGGATTACAGGCACGTGCCACTATGCCTGGACTTTGGCCAGCTCTGCCTACCCTGGGGGCAGGGCTGGCATGGCATATGGTGCCAGAGATTGAACCACAATCCCTGTGCTTGCCTAAGCTTGCCTAAGCAGGTGCTCTAGTCCGCTGAGCTATTGTACAGGCCCCTCAGTACACATTCTAAACCATTTTTACAATGGAATGCTGCTCTTGGCTGGCAATATTGTTTTTTCAAAAAGCAAATTAGGAACTCAACTTTTGTTTGCACTAAAATTTGTTTTTCAAAAGGAAAATTGTAAGTGCAGAACCTAATTTTTCTGAATAGTCACACCAATTTAACATCATTAACTATATACACAGAGAACTCTTAATTATGCAAGTACATTGCAATTGCAGTAGAAATAGTAATAAAATAGCATCATCATAGAAATTCATTCATCCAAATATGCAAGCATAATGTGGCTAATGAATATTTCTTTCATCTTTTTGGTGGTATTTAGCTAATTCTAAGACATTGACCTGTACTTAGCAAGAGGTGCCAGTTTATAAATGTTATATATGTTTCCAGTCTGGGCACAAAGCTGCGCTGGCTTGGTACGTGCTCCCCCTCCTACTCACCTACCTGGATGGCACTGTCCAATGGAGACATTTTAAAAACTATCAAAGCCAAGAATAGCTTCACATACCTGTTAACTCCGCACTCAGGAGGCCAAGGCAGAAGGATCACTGTGAGTTCAAGGCCAGCCTGAACTGTGTAGCAAAATCCTGTCTTTAAAAAAAAAAAAAAACCTGCCAAGGCAGTTTCTATTCACATATTTATATGCCTTAAACACTGGGTTGGAACTGAATTGTCTGAGTTGATTTTAATAGCTTGTCTAAGCTAATCAGCCAATGTCAACATTTGGGGTAAAATTATACTATGTTAATCAAGTCAGTCATAGCTTATAAAGTGCCGCACAGGGGTCAGGTGTCATTGTTAGGGACAGTCATTCTTCCATCTTTTTAACACTTTTTTTTTTCATCTCAAGATAAAGAGACATTTATTTAATTAGTTTCCGCCAATGTCCTGGATCATTTTGCTTCCTGTTAATTCCATCATGAAAATGAAATGGGATACAAAATGTTCTAAAGACTTTATTTTTCAAATAAAGTACCAAGACAATGAGACTCATATTTAGTGACTTTTAAACATTTTTTACCCTAACTTATAGTAATAAATACATTTTATACCAAAATCTGATACACATACACATGATAGTAGAAATTGCATGTTAACTTTACCGTAGGAATGTACTCTGATTATTTTCTTTCTCTCCCTTTCCTCCTCGTCTTCCTCCCGCTCCTCCTTCTTTTTTTTTTTTTTTTTTTTTTTTTTTTTTTTGTAGTTTGTTCTTGGTGTTTTTTTTGGTCTTGCCTTTAGCTGACTATGTAGCTCAGTCTGGCCTCAAACTTGCAGCAATCCTCCTGCCTCAGCCACCTAAATAGTAGGATTATAGATGCAAGCCACCATGCCTGCATGATATTTTCTTTCTGGACCATTTTATTTCACTGTATGTATCATTTTTAAAAAGTTATTTATATTTAGGTGTTCTGCAAAGACTCAGATGCTTATAGAAGGGTCTTTTGGGGGAGGTAATTGGGTCCTGGGTGCATGGTATTCATTGGTGGATTAGTCTGCTCATGACTGTATGGATACACGTGATGTTGCGAGGTCAGATTTAGTTGGAGGTGGTGGGTCATCTTTTTAACACTTACAAGATAACAGCAGTTTTATCTTTAGCATGTTTTCTAAACTGAAGTGAACTAAACCAAAAAAAGCAGACTCTCAGTGTCTTTCAGCCACAGCATTCTAGAATCATACAGCTTTCTGGTCCTGGTAAAACCTTTGACGCTTAGTACTTTTGCTCCCTGAAATCAGGAAGCCTTGCAATTAACACTAAGAGTTGCAAACCACTCACAACAGAAAAATCTTATTATTTCCATATAAAACATATGGGGGGCCCTCCCATTAGCTCAGTTGTTTAAGTGCCTGCTTAAACAAAGCAGTCAGTCTCTGGGAGCGGTGGTTCGATTCCCAGATACTCAAAGCAACCCAGACCAGCACTGGAGGCGATCTGGAGATGCAAAAAAAAAAAACAAAACAAAACAAAAAAAAACTCTTCCATATAAAACATATGTGTCACAGAAGAGGGGGAATAAAGGATTTTCACCTAAGGACCAGGGGGTATAGCTCAGGGGGAATCCCAAGTTCAATTCCCAGTACCAAAAAACAAAAAAGATTTTCACCTAGAGAAAAACACGCTGCAATAAAATGCCCAGCTTCCTGCAGTCCCCTCCCTTTGCTCAAGCCGAGCTCCAGTGTCACACCTGCCCATAATCCCACAAAGGAGGAGAATGCAGGGCCACCATGCCTCACGGCCACACTGTTGCCCTAGCGCTGTTAAACCAGTCTCCCCACATAGCAGCTTGCGTTGTCGCTGTCTCTTTGTGCCTGCTGTCCTGGCTTTGCCCGCTGCCCACGCACTGGAGCTCTGGTTTCTTATCTGACATATCCCTAGCGCAGCGCGTGTGTGTCCTTAGCACGCTCACACCTCTGCAGGCTCTCGGTTGTTTGACTGCCCTGGGTTTGTGTGTGGAAAGCTCCCTTACCTCACCCTTGTCTGGCAGATGCCCACCCATGCGCCTACCTCCTGTTCCCACTCTGCCTCTTAGCCAGCCCTTAGGTTCAGGTCTGTGGTGTCTGACTTTTAAATTTTTAAAATCTTCTTTTTCTCCAAAAAATAAGAATACCATGGAAGTGTAGGTAATCTAAAAAAAGAACAGCGAGGGGGGCTGGCTGTTGTGTTCATATGCTAACTAGACTGCCTGATTCTTGCAAATTCAAGGCAACATGAGTCTGTCCAAATGGGCAATTGTTGTGAAAGGCTGCACAGCTCAGGGGCTCAAACCTTGGATTCAGAAACCATAGGGCCTAGATTCAAATCCTGCGTGTGCTACATATGCGACTACTTACTGTCCTTTCTGTGGAGAGCAGCAGTGGCATGGCTTCCGAACAGCACTGGCAGGTAAGAAGTGCTGTCCAGCTGCCCAACCTTAGGAACCTGGCCTGAAGCATTTTTGATCTTAGACATGAACTCGGCTTCCAGGATTCCAACTGCTGAGGCGAGGTTCCTGGTACTTAGAAATAGCATCATTGCTCTCATGAGATTGATTTTTGGTCTTTCCTCCAAAATGTTAATAGGAAGTGACATGTCTCCAAAGGAGCACCAGGAGCTGAGGTCCTACGTCACCCACCTGTATGTCATCGACAGCCAGCAGGCCCTGTTCGAGCTCTCCCACAGGCTTGAGCCAAGGGCGTGAGGTGCCACCCGCCTCCTGAGACTGCTGCACTGAGCCACAGGAAGGTCTCTGCCCAGCGCATTGCTTCCTGTGAGAAAAGGAGTTGCTGAGTTTTATCAGCACACCACAAGACGTGCACGGGAAGGGCAGCCAGAGCGGGCTCAGGAAGTGATGTCAGCCGCCAGCAATGGGAGCGGCCCCTCCGCCGTGCTCTTGGAGTGAGAAGGAAGGAAGAGCTGGCAGCATTCTTGGAACAGAGCGGCCTGGTTTCTCACCCTCAGTTGCTGATCTGGTCCAGGTTTCAATTTAACATGTGCCAGCATCGACAGGAGAAAACGCAGCCTGACACACGGAGAACTGATACTTCGACGTGAGTGCGCCTGCAGGAGGAGGACATTAGCTGGCTGCCTGTAGGTCATCAGAGGACAGTGAACACCCGAAGACAGGGAGGGCACCCCTAGACATCCGGGCGGGGAGAGGCCTCGCCCAGCCAACTCTGGCATCACAAGAGCCACAGGAGTCTGGGGAGCTGTGGGCTGGCACCAGGCAGTGGTGCTCCACCGAGCAGATGCGCGACGCCAGGACACGCACGTCTGCATCCGCAGTCCTTGCAGTGTGTGCTTGCAGGTGAAGTAGCACCTGGACAGCTGATCTGCTCCTGTAGGCAGGTAGACTTGGTTGCTTTGCCAGTAGGGAACAGGGTAGTCTTTAGGCAGGTGACTCCTTGTTTAATAGCTGGGGGTTTCTTGTATGTTTGGAAGCAGGCTGGTTTTCACCAGACACAGTGTAATCTTCGGTAAGTGTACAGTGCCCGACGCGCTGCTCAGAAAACAGCTCATGGGGGTGAGGATTGCCAGGGTCTGCGCTCTGTGTCTGATGAAGTCCTAGCATTGCGCGGCCCTCGGGCAGGTGCGCTGCCACAGGACAGGGTGAGAACAGCCCGGTGAAGGAGAGCAGTTGTGTGTGTGAGGCACTGAGTGCTAACAAGAGCAAGGTAACAGGACAGTGGGGATTACCATGTGGGGCAAGGGGAGCATGCCCCGAAATAGCCAGGTGGCTGGCATATGGTGGAGACTCAGGAGTCCTGCAGTCTGCTTCCCACGCAAAGCAGGAAGTCTCGCTGTCATTTGCCTTTTTGCTTTTTTCCCCAAAGCCTCCACATTCCGAGTCTTTTTGATTCACATTTTTACAAACTGGGGGCTCCTCTAGCACATAAGACTTCTCACTCTTCTCATTGACTGGTTAGAGGGTTTCCCTTAACCCTCAGATGTACAAAAATTTAAATGAAATGAGACCAACTAGAGGAGGACAGAGCCATACAATCAGGAGAGATGTTGCTGATGCAAGCAAGCTATCAGAAGTCCTCCTCCAACACTACTGGGGACAGCAGGGGCTCATGGCACAACCACCTGTGCATGTGCCTCTTTCAAGCTGGCAACCAGGGTTTGACGGGTGTGATCACACAGGCCATTCTGACATTGTCTCTGGTTCATGTATTTACTTTAGATTCACATTGCATCATACAGAGCATTGCCTCCAAAGGACCGATTTCCCTTGGAAATTACTTCAGATGAGCACGTGCGGCTCAGACTCCAGTTCAGTGTGTACGCTGGGCCACACAAAGCCCCGTGTGCACTCTGTGAAATGCATTTTGGGTGGCCATTAGTGTGTCCTGCACACCATGAGTGGAAACGGGCTGGGAAAGAGTGGTGTTTCTTTTGCTTGAGAGTGAAAGAAAGAGAGGACTTTGTTTTACATTTGCTTTGCCATCCATGTCTTCTGACCACCTAAAACCTTTCAGTATTGCTGAAATTTAACAACTGTCTCTAAAGATCTCCCAGGTAGAGGGGCTGGTGAGATAGCTCAGTGGTCTAAAGCACCTACTTAGAACAAGCTTAGCAAAGCACAGGGACCGCGGTTCAATCCCCCAGCACCATATGCCAGCCAGGCCCACCCCCTGGTGGGCTGAGCTGGCCACACACACACACAAATAAAAATAAATAAATAAAATAAAATAAAGATCTCCCAGGTAGAATAGCAGGAACCAGAGTTTGCTATGCAGAAAGCTCTCCCTGTTGACCCAGGGTATGGCAGGACTTGTGCACACCTTGCTGGGGGATGGCCTCACACCCTGCCCAGATGTTCACCAAGGCCTCTGCAGAATGCACTTCTTTCTGACTGGAAGGGTGGATGGGCAGGTGCCTAAGCCTGTTCCCCGCTAGCCTTTGGGATTTTTATGATTGCAAAAAATCTCCATCTCTCCAGAAAATCTTCACCAAACAGGTTTGCAGGACACCTCTACATGGGCTCTTTCTCTTACAGCACAATTCCCCAGCAGTCTTGGGGGCTTTCAGATGCACTAGCATAGTGGCAGGCCAGCCCTGCCTAGAGTTGGTGCAGGATGGTAGAGCCCTTATTGCTGTTGACAAAGTTGCAACTTTTCTTTTCTTTCTTTTTTTTTTTTTTTTTTTCAATTACTAGGAACATTTGCAGATGTTCCATAGACTACCTGTTTTAAATTCACTCAGTTATAGGTTAAATAATTGGCAAGTGGTCATAGTCATGCATACTGTAAACTACATTCATTTTTTGTTAGTATCCTTAATTATGTTGAGAATGAATTCATTTTGCTAGATTGAGTACAGATTGCTGCATTCTCAAGCAGATAGCACAGCACATACATTAAATTTAGAAGCATGAGAATAAACATTGCATGTCTGTGTGGGAGAGAAACAGACACACGGGAGAGAAAGCGAAGACGACGCCTGACCCCAGAGCTGGCCTTTCACTGCTGCTGAACCCCAGCCCTGCTGCTGTGCTGCGACCAACACATACACTGCAAACCCTGACCTGTGTGGCACAACCACTCCAAGCTGCTCGGAAACAGCAAGCCCAAGTCGGCTGCAATGGTCCGACCCAAGATTTCATCTAAATTCTTCAAAGACATGTCCTTCAATTTCAGCCTGCTTGTTAGTGAGTAGGCCAGTTCTGCTTCAGAATGGTGGAAGAAAAACAGTTTTTAAAAATTGCCAAAAAGTTAGATGAAAATGTACTACTGTATAAAACAAAGCTGTACATACTAAACATTTTTTAGCAGAGTAATATTTATTTGCATAGCCTATTTATTGTATTCATATTATACTGTTGTTAAACACTGCAATGAAATTGATGAGCTCAAGCAAGGAATCTTGCCTTTTACTGTATCCCTGCTTAGGACAGCTATGACTTTGTCAGCTTGCATTAACAATTAGAAGATAGAAAACCCGCAGTCGGGGTGAGTACCTAACTTCTCAGGGACTACACTTTACACTTTTCAACCATTAAAAGAACTGGTAAATATGAAACATTTGTTGAATTACCAGAATTGCCACGAACAGTGTTTCTTTTTCTGATATTTCATGGTTTCTGCCTCTGTACATAGGACTCTGCTGTGTATTTATCAAAGCTAGCAAGCAATAATTTATATGTAAAAATGGCCAAGCAATATAAGGTTGAAACTTATATGAGTAACTGTTACTTTATCTTGTATTTTCGAGTGTTTTTTAATTGCCTTTCCAAATATAAGACTATGTTCAAGATAATCCTCAGGCCTTATCACTCCTTGATTTTCCAGTGATGCTCCGAGTCAAGTGGGCTGTGTTCCAGCAATGTGTGATGCTTGGTTTGGAAGCCAGAAGTCATTTGCTCACTGTAAGAGATACATGTGGGTGAGGATGGTCTCATGCAGCGCCAGGAGCCTGAGTACTTATCCCACTACCTGGTTGGTTGGTTTGATTGATTGATTGATTGATTGATTGATTGGACTGATTTGATACATCATCTTGCTATGCAGTTCAGACTTCTAGTGATCCTTCTGTCTCAGCATCCCCAGTACTGGGATTACAGGCATGTGCCACTATGCCTGGCTTCAGGGCCAGCACAGTGTACATGGGGCTCCAGGGCTGGCCCGGTATGCAGTACCAGGGATCGAACTTGGGTCTTTGCACTTGCCAGGCAGGCACTTAGACCGGGAGCTATCTCCCCAGGCCCTGCTACCTGTTGATCACCAGCCCTCAACTCCCTATGTTGGAGGTGACATCAGTGTTCTCATTCTGAGATGTAGGGAAATCCAGCTACCACCACTAACATCACCTCAGCCCACTTCAGTAGGGCCAGGAAGTAAGAGAAGCACCAGCCCAGGGGTGGATACTTGGGTCTCCATATGGCTGAGGATGATGGCTGTGGGTAAGCAGAGTGGAAAGTCAGGGTGCTGGTGAATCTCGGGCATGTGAAATACCACTTCATTGTTCAGAATCTTCTCTCTCCTTATTGGCCAGTTATGTATCCTGCTCATCTGGGTCTAGCTGGCCTTTGGTGTGTGGGCTTCCCTCCCTGCAGGAAGATCATATATCTTATCATCTTGAACTCTGGAGTAGCCACGTGTCTTTCTCTGTCTGGTGAAAAAGGGACACAGGTGGTCCATGCAGCCTGTAGTCAAAGATTTATAGGGTAGCTTAGGCTTTCCATGCCTGCCCTTCTGGGAGCCACACACATGGTCCAGGCAGAGGTGTCACCATCAGCCTGTGATGGGGAGCAAAGAACGTGGAGCCGAGCTCTGGCTTGGGAAAGGCTCAGGACTCGTGAGAAATAAACTCTCACCATCAGAAGGCATTGAGATTTGTTACTGAGCAGAATGTAACCTAAGCCAGGACGTCTCATTTTCAACCCCCATGTAGGCAATAGACTTCATGCAGTGCATGATGGACAAAGCTACCTGTTGTCACATAGCCATGCAAAAGCTTCTCTTTTTATGGGCAAGGGTAAAGAGGAGTCAATGTCAAGTCTGTAGTCACTGGGAAGGGGCACCTCTCTGAGATCAGAGCACAGGGGCAGCACCTCTGAGACAGGTGTTGGGAGCAGAAGGAGGAGCTGCCCTGAGCCCTACTTTGTCTTGGTCCCATAGTCTCTTCACGTGTGGGGGTCCCAGAATCTGGAGCCCTGCAAGAGATAGAGAAGGGAAACCCTAGGCTTTCTTTACTAAGGATATTTGCAGATTCTCTTCAAATTAGCAAGCCTCAAAATAGATCTTGGGGGCCTGGCCCTGATGCACTCACTACAGAGTTGGACTTCAGAGCGTGAGGCTCCATATCAGGTCCCATACTTTGTCTAAGGTCTCCTTGGATCCCCAGTGAGCAACTTATGTATTTGCTTTTCATAAAATTACATTGAACCAATGAGTTTCCTGAAGCTTTAAGAATTTAGTGACGTATACACTATGTCACTCACATCCTTTAGTGCTACCTCATTTCTGTTACTGAAGCACCCAAATTCTTTGTACTTCAACAGAAAATCACTGGTTCTCTTTCCAGCACTAGGAAGGCATCTGCTATGGGCAAGGCAGACCAGACAAGCAGCCAAGCAGCCACACACTGAGATCCCAATCCCAAGCAGACCTAGAGCCAGGCCCAGTCGTATCTCTTGGTTTTGCTTCTCTAATGGTGACACCATCCTTGCCAAGGAGGAACTCATCCTACTTTGTGGCCAGTCTGTGACACCTAATTATTTTCCCTCTCCAAGAGTCTGGGGCCTTCCAAAGATGGCTCAGGTTCCCTGTGGTTAGCTTTGCAAGCATTTCTTGCACAAGATCACTTTACTCCTCTCCATGGTGGTCACACGGAAAGTTCTGCAGCTTCGTTCTGCTACCCCCAACCCCCACCAGCCTAGAATAAAGAACTTCAGTTCTCCTCAAATGGCACTTTCATGCCAAAATGGAACCAGGCCAGGGAGTGGGTGGGAACTGTTTCAAACTCCACCCCACCCCTCCACACCATATCACTGCTTAATTTCTACTATAGCTAAAGTGTGTCGGAGATCTTAACAGGTCTGAAATTATCCTGAGACAAGAACAACCTCCTAACATGAGTTTCCCAGAATCTCTGGGATACTGGGATACTGAGTGTCTCACATTCTAGGTCTTCAACATAGAGGTAGGAAGGTGGAAATGCCAAGAGCCCTATTTGCTCTTCTCACAAAGACCTCAGAAGATCTCCCCAGACTTGGTGGCATCTTGCATAAGGCCACTTGTACAGGAAGCTGTCCTTGCAAGAGAAGCCAGAATGTCCCATTCCTCCTCACAGATATTTGCCACCTCCCAAGTTATCCTCATGCTGAGTCTACAACTACTAGCTAGAACTTGAATGAAAACAATCACCTTTCATAAGGGCCAGCCAATTAGCTCAGTGGATTAGAGCACCCGCAAGAGGCACAAGGGACAGGGATTTGATCCCTGGGGCCTGCAGTGCCTGAGACAGCAATTGAGACTGGGCCTGGTGATGCACACCTGTAACCCCAGCTCTTGGGAGGCTGTAAACAGGTGGATCACTATGAGTCTGATCTAGTAGTGAGACTCTGAACACCCTAAAATACAAAAACAAAAGAAAAAAAGAATCACCTTTAGAGAAAATCCCTGCAGTCATCATCTGGTTTTGGAGTCCGGACCAAAACCAACAGCAGCAACAAAACAAAGCACGGAGCTTGAAGTCTAGAAAGCGGTCAGCCTCCATCGAGCAGTGGCAAGAATTCCTGATGTTCTGCAGCAGTTGTGGTTCTCAAGACTTTCTGGGGTGCACTGAGGCATTAGGAATACTGCCAGCATCCGGGCAAGTTGCAAACCGCAGACAGTCTTCACTCCTCGCCAGCTGCCCCGCCTAGTTCTGCCCTTAGCTGCATGGCCTCTGGCCTGTGTGAGCAGTTACTCCAGTCCTTCCGGTACCCTACCTCCTTTCCTCCCTGGTCTGAGTGCCCCCTAGTACAGTATCCAAACTGCCCTCAAAATTATGTTCCCAAAACAGATCTCATCATGTTTCTCCTCAGCTCAAGATCTTCCATGGCACCTGCTGAGCAGCGGGAGAAAACCTCAGTTTGTTTGTATGTAAATTCTCCCTACCATAGTCTCTATAAACTCATCCAAAGAGATCAGGCAGAAGTCCGTGGGAGATTAAGGACTTGTGGTCCCTTGAAATAGGTTTTCTGCATGTGGACATAAATTGATTCCATGACTGTTGAAAATAACAGGCACCAAACACTTGCAAATAAGTGAATCTGAGACTTCCTTGCTTACCTGAGGATTCTTATCCTTGGAACCAAACTGCTAAGATGCATATGTGTGTGTGTGTGTGTGTGTGTGTGTGTGTGTGTGTGTACATGCACACTGGCCCCAATAGGAAGAACTTGGGCTTCTGGAATCGACTTAAGGACAATGTGCTATCTTCCGCTAGAGCTTCTCCAGCAGGCCTGAGAGCAGTCCGCCTGAATGGTTTCATTCAGGGACAGCAGAGGGCTTGCACAGATTTGTGAGGGCCTCGCCGCCCTGGCTCTTTAGAAATTGAAGCAAATCCATAGGTGCAAGATGCCTTCACTTTCTGGTTTGCTTGGGGCTTTGCGTAAGTGACTTGATTGATGTAGGAAATAACTGTTCCTGCTCTTTTGTGTCCAGCTGACCTGGGCTAGGCTCAGAGGGAGCTGGAAGGGAAAAGGCCGTGGGCGGAGGCCGGAAGGGAGTGCCTCACCCCTTCCCTGTCCTGTGCCCACTGCTGACTCTGCAGCCCTGCCATGAATTCACAGAAGAGCTCCTGGAGCCAACACCAGGGCTGCTCGCGTCTACCACGCTGGCTCCTGCCTCCCTGGCCGCAGGTCCTTGGGTGGCTTGGCTCCTGGTGGCATTTCTTTTCGCTGCCAGCTTGCCCCATTCCCAGGTCCTGTACTGACCCAACACATGGGTCTCCCCAGTCCTTCTCCACCTCCTCAGCACACACCACCCAGCATGCCTTCTCCACATGCCAAACAAGGCCAGGTTCCCCCTGCCAGCCCTTCTGACGACACCTGACGCTGAGCTCTCCCGACCTCTTATTTAGATTCCTGCAGCACCTCACACCTGTCTCTGGGAAACCACCTTGCACTATCCAGAGCTGGGAGAACTGGGGGTGCTTCTGCCTTGCTCTTGGTTGCTATTTTGCATCTCCTGAATGGGGATTAAAATACTAACCAGGTGTGAGAGATAAAAAAAAAAAAAAGTGTGTGCAATGCGTTTAACAAAATTCCTGGTACATAGTACATACTCAATGAATGAGAATTCCTTATTGTCATTAATACAGAGTGCAAGTGAGGGGATTTGTATACACATTTGTATTCCACCACTGACTATGCATGCAGGAACTTCTCTTATCCTTATTCCCCTTATTGTTGAATAAGATAATACAACATCTGTGGCAGCTGTGAAAATGAAAGGAATGGTGCAGTCTCTTGTGCCTGCTAGAATGGGTTACAAGTGTTTCCTCTTGGAGTCCTCGCATGCAGAGCAGAGGCAAACCCTGAATTTTACTGGTTCATCTAAACAAAGGTGGCTGCATATATCGCCTGGCAAGTTTGGGTCATATTAATGTTCAAGTATTAACAGGAAGAGAAGCACCCACACAGACCTCGAATGCTCATGTCTTCTGATATGGTCCTGCCACTGCCCTGAGCACACCCCAGAACTCTCAGAGAAGCCCCTTCTTTGGCCACACCTTTCTCCTTCTCTGTCATCCCTGTGCTGGGACCATGG